TTCCTTTCCTGTGGCGGTCCTCATGAGAACCAGTTTCATCATAGCGCTTGATGGTTTTTGCGACTGCACTTGAAGAAACTTTCAAAGTTCTTGAAATTTTCTGGATTGACTGACCTTCATATCTTTAACAAGGAACACCTATTAATTGACATGCATTCCAGGTGACTACCTCATGAAGCTGGTTGAGAGAATGCCAAGAGTGTGCAATGCTGTCATCAAGGCAAAGGGTGGCTACTTTGAAGAATCTCAAATATAAAACATATTTTGATTTGTTTAACACTTTTTTTGGTTACTACATGATTCCATATGTGTCATTTCATTGTTTTGATGTCTTCACTATAATTCTACAATGTAGAAAATAGTAAAAATAAAGACAAACCCTGGAATGAGTAGGTGTGTCCAAACTTTTGACTGGTACAGTATATTGCTACTATAGGTAGTGCGGTGGAAATTCAACACCAGGGACACCTGAAGTCAATATTAAATGAATCACTCTTTATTATCAGTTAACTGAAGAGGTTACAACAAACTCTGTACGCTCAGTACAGGTCGATCAGAAGCTCCGCCAGGGCAGTCCCCTCAATTCTCTTATACACTGCTTACACATACAAGTATTATTTGCATGATTTACATTATTAATTATTCATCATTAACGTTGGTTCCTGCACGTGACTGACCAATACCTCACGAGGCTTCTTCTCTCCAAACTGAGACCTTAAAACTGAGATATCCCTTTTGGTTCCCAGAGCAATGTTCTGGGCATAATGCCAAATTGCTTAAACTGACAGTGAGGATTCCTCCCATGCACGATCAATCAGTCACTTGCATGAACCCAATTAAATTGGTTAGGAGAAAAGCGGCATTTTGCTAAACATACGATCTGTGTAAAATCTGATACACACAAACATAAAATGTTCCCTCACAGTAGCATTAGCTAACGTTAGTCGGCTGTACCTGCTCCAAAACTCCGGTATTTTTCATCCTATAGCTTGCTCTCCATCTTCTTTTTAAATAGTGAGCCAACATGTTTTCAGCACTCTTATTTCCCTGACTGATCAAAACTCATTTTCTCATGCTCACTCGTCTCTCTGCAGCAGACAAAGTGAGCAATAGGTTTGAAACATCAAATTGCAATAAAATTGTAGTATCAAATTGCAATACATATAGAACCGTGAGGATCAGGCTCTGTCGCAGCCGGCCGCGACCGGGAGACCCATGGGGCGGCGCACAATTGGCCCAGCGTCGTCCAGGATAGGGGAGGGTTTGGCCGGCAGGGATGTTCTTGTCCCATCGCGCATTAACGACTCCTGTGGCGGGCCGGGCGCAGTGCACGCTGACTCGGTCGCCAGGTGTACGGTGCTTCCTCCGACACATTGGTGCAGCTGGCTTCCGGGTTAAGCGGGCACTGTGTCAAGAAGCAGTGCGGCTCGGTAGGGGTTGTGTTTCGGAGGACGCACGACTCTCGACCTTCGCCTCTCCCCCGTGTCTGTACGGGAGTTGCAGCGATGGGACAAGACTGTAACTACCAATTGGATACCACAAAAACAAAATTGTGAGGATCGTGAGAATCGCAATACATATCGTACCAGCACCTAAGTATCGTGATAATATCATATCGTGAGGTCCGTGGCAATTCCCAGCCCTAGTGGGAAGGTAGTAACTACCAGTTGTGAAGCCATAAAATACCAGTTGGATGCATTTACGTGCCTTGAACTAATGGCCAACAAGCTGCGTCAACCATGAACTAAAAGTACAGCTATCACGCTTGTAAACAAACAATAGAGTTCAAAAACCATATTAATAGATGGCTTTTTTACCAATAATGTTTTGCTGTTACATTTAACTGCCGAAAATGCTATTATCAAGGTAATTTCCTTAGTAGGTCATGTCAGAGGTCGCCTTCAGCACCTGTAAATAAACACCACCATTTTGCACCTGAACTCTGCCTGACCCCTGACAAGACCGTAGCTGTAGGGTCAACTCTCTTACCAAATACAGCTTTACTTTTAAAGTCCTTATGCCACTGCTACTCATCCCATGGGGCTGTACAGGTCATTAAGAATATTCATGCCAGCTCATCACCATGACATCATCCTCTATGAGGAAATAGCAAGCATTTTTTAAATAGTCTGGTTGAGGTGTGTTTCTATTTTTATAAAAAAATATATATATATATGTTATGCTTTGGCCATTTCATGTTGGAGTATAGGACAACAACATTATTTGCTTAACAGAATATGAACTTTTAAAAGTGAGATTTTTGCTGGACATTTACTTTAAAGTGAAACCCTGAACATTTTCAAAAAATGTATTCAGGTGAGAAGTTGTGGGTGGGGGGGGAATTGCTCATAAATATTCATTTTGGGGTGAACGTAGTTGTACCTGATCCCAACACTTTCTCACCACGGTTACATGCACACAATAATATGATTATGGTGGATAGTCCGATGAATACAACAGTTCGTTTAAAACGTTAACATGCTTTGCAAGAAGAACGATTTCGCTAAGAATCCTGTTTACATGGACACATCAAATCAGGCTACTTGATGTGACTTTTGATAAATGCAGAAAATCGCCAATGAAAATAAACGTTCTACCACAGTGACCGTGTTATTTTTTGCGAAGTCTATTTGATTCTGAGTTCGGACATAAAAAACTATTTGATACAAGCACACTTTCAGTTTTTCCGAAATCACTTCACTCCGAAAATGTGGTCGGAGGCGCCACATGGCTGGTGTGTCGCAATGGTAGAGCCTCTGCAGAGGCCAAATTGCGCCTCTCAAATGTTCTAACAATGTGAAGGGCTCCATGTAGCTAGCTCCGCATTGACATGATTGGTTGACGGTAGGTGAGGGCGGGAGGGTCCTGTATAAACACAAACTCACTTCCTTGACAACTTCCTTCACAACCAGTGTTGCCAACTTAGCGACTTTGTCGCTACATTTAGCGAGTTTTCAGACCCCTAGCGACAAATCTAGCGACTTTTTCTGGTGTTATTGGAGAATTTTGGAGACTATGATGTGAAAGCACGTATCGTTCTTACTCTTCTCAACGAGCAGCGGGTGCTGCCGTGGGTCCCACCCCCACCTGCGTGGGCCCCACCCCTGTCCCAAAGCACTCACAGGCGGCCCAGTCCTTGCGCAGCAGTCCTTCCCAACTGCAGTCAGAGCAGGAGATGTTCACCCCTCCACGTCCAGACTGCTAATTAATCGCGCATGCGGGAAGCCGCCACTGGCTGATCCCACCCTGGCTTACATTCAGGGCGGGATGTAAATGTAGGGTGTTTTTTACTCACTTTTTGTCTCTCCCACGACGTTATTCCTCTCTCCTACAGCGTTATTCCTCTCTCCTACTGCGTTATTCCTCTCTCCTACTGCATTATTCCTCTCTCCTACAGCGTTATTCCTCTCTCCTACAGCGTTATTCCTCTCTCCTACAGCGTTATTCCTCTCTTCTACAGCGTTATTCCTCTCTCCTACAGCGTCCATCACAATTACATGCACATGGCCAATTATGCAAATTAGGCGATGACGTCATTTAGCGACTTCTAGCGACTTTTAGGACAGCCGATAGCTACTTTCCTTACTGAGGAGTTGGCAACACTGTTCACAACAGCTCTGCGCTGGTCTGCGAAGCTCAGAAAGTAGGCTAGGTTTGCTCTGACTTCTGTGGAAGCCGCATCACAGTAAATGCTGTATGACCCAATGCAGACTTGGATTGACCATGTAGCGCCTTTAAGAAGGAGGCTTGCACTGCTGGTGCTGGTACATCGGCCGATCAAATACACTCAAACCGTTGCGCCTGGCACCTACTAATATACCCTGTTCAAAGGCACTTAAATCTTTTGTCTTGCCCATTCACCCTCTGAATGGCACACATACACAATCCATGTCTCAAGGCTTAAAAATCCTTATTTAACCTGTCTACCCCCCCTTCATCTACACTGATTAAAGTGGATTTAACAAGTGACATCAAATCAAATCAAATTGTATTTGTCACATACACGTGTTTAGCAGATGTTATAGCGGGTGTAGCGAAATGCTTGTGCTTCTAGCTCCGACAGTGCAGTAATATCTAACAAGTAATATCTAACAATTTCACAACATATACCTAATACACCCAAAACTAGTAAGGAATGGAATTTAAGAAAATATACATATATGGACAAGCAATGACAGAGCGGCATTGACTAAAATACAGTAGAATATTATAGAATAGAATGCAGTATATACATATGAGATGAGAAAACATTATTAAAGTGACTAGTGTTCCATGTCTTAAAGTGGCCAGTGATTTCAATAGGAAAGGGATCATAGTTTTCACCTGTCATTGAAATGTGAATGTTTTGTACACTCAGTTTATATTGGCACACTCCATTTACCAAAAGCATTGCCAAATAAACCGTGCTGTCACCTGCTTTTGCGGTAATCCTTGAGGTGGTACCACGCACCAGAACATCTAAAAGGGAGTGTGGTTCATACCGAACCCCTCCCTTCAGATGACGTGGAGGCAGGCACTCTATATCACGATTTCAATGGTAGAGTTGAAGCGCTTGGGGCAAAAGAGCTAGATGTATTACTGAAAGACCAAAATCACTCTTGCAACGAACTGTCAAAATGAAGACCAGAATTGACGTGTTTCACAATAACTAAGCATAAAACATATGGTTAACGATTTTTTTTTAAAATTCTCCATGAAAGTTACTCTTTCATTCTCTTAAAGGGTAGACTACAGAGATCAATAACCCAACCTATCCATCTGTAGATGATTTTCGGTGGATATGATGTAATGACATTGTTTATTTCCATGTCCTTGCTATAACCGAGTCTATTTAAAAGGTGCACTCCCACTTGCAATACAGTTTGTTCGTTTGAATATCCTCATGTCATATAATTATCCATGGGTTTTAGAATAGGCTACATAGCCGGGATAAAGGGATTATTCTGGGGTGTTTTTTTTTCTTCTAAACCATAGTAAGGTCAGTTATTATCAACCGTGCCCTCTACCCCACAGACCTATGCTCTCACTCGTCCGCTGTGAGGGACCGCTCTCATTGGTTCCCTTCCCACTACCCAGCATGCTAGTCGGTGCGCACTGATCCGCTGCTACTGGAGGTAATATGGCGGCCATCAGCAAATACCTGACAGCTAAAAACTCTTCGATAGCCGGTGGAGTCCTACTCGTTTTATTCATCCTGAAGCAAAGAAGAAGAGGGGGCAAGTCAAACGGGTATGTTGCTGAAGAAAGTATCATCGAATCTCCGTTGTACTTTAATTGTGCGTAGCTAAACTGCCAGGGGTTCTTGTGTCACACAACTTGTGGCCAGCAAGCCAAGAAACACTGTCCCGTTTGACGGGTGTAAAGTCTGAAAGTCGGTGAGATATTGCAGTTGTATAATATCGCAGTTATCAATAAGAAACAGGGGTTGATGACTGTGCATATCGCATGTTGTAGCAGTAAGTATGTGTTATTATATCTCTGTCAATGTTAATCTCCATTCTCATTAGCAAACAATAGAGGTCTTTAAACCCCGGTGCAGCGGGATAGTCGCAATGATGTGTATTAATCAAATCAAATCAAATTTTATTTGTCACATGCTTAAGAACCCTGGATTGCTAGTGTTTTGTAATTTTAATGATACTTTGATGCCACCGGCAGCCATCTTGGTACTCCTCAGAAGGAGCAGTCCTTCCAACTAGCTGTCTTAGATCAGAATTAGACATTTATCCATCTTTCTCACACGTCAAATGTCTAAGTTTTTAAGGTTAAGTTTAGGCATTAACTCAGCATTTGTAAAGTTAGGGTTATGTTTGGGCGTTAACTCTGAAATCTTAAGGTTAGGCATTAACTCTGAATGGTTAAGGTTTGGGATAGGCTTAAAACAAATATCTCAAAAACAACTTGCTATCGCTGGTTGCAACCTTTGGAATCAGAAGCAGAGGCAGATGCTTACGCCCAGCCCAGCTCCGCCCTGTCCACAACGCCCCGCCCTGTCCACAACGCCCCGCCCTGTCCACAACGCCCCGCCCTGTCCACAACGCCCCGTCCTGTCCACAACGCCCCGTCCTGTCCACAACGCCCCGTCCTGTCCACAACGCCCCGTCCTGTCCACAACGCCCCGTCCTGTCCACAACGCCCCGTCCTGTCCACAACGCCCCGTCCTGTCCACAACGCCCCGTCCTGTCCACAACGCCCCGTCCTGTCCACAACGCCCCGTCCTGTCCACAACGCCCCGTCCTGTCCACAACGCCCCGTCCTGTCCACAACGCCCTAGCAAAACTGAAACCTTGTTGAAGGTAACAGAGCTCACTGTTGCCCCTAGTGGCCGGTTTCCACAATCTCCAGACGTCCTCAGACTTGGATGGACATCAAATACTGACTTGTATGACGGGTGACCGGGCTGGTCCTCCATAGGAATAAATGGAATTCTACAGTAATATCAATAAAATGTTTTAAGGACAAAATTACGTGTATTTAAGTGTGTCTTTGTTGTAGTGGGGACAGTAACATAGTACAAAAAAAAAGTACTTTGAGGAATATGTTTTTATATATTTTTTTAAATGTTCAGTTCACATAATATAACTTTAAGTATGCAATAAGGTGTCTGTAATAGAATATACTTGTCAAAAACGAATGTAGATGTTAATAAATGCATTTCCAGGCTCTGTCGTAGCCGGCCGTGACCGGGAGACCCATGGGGCGGCGCGCAATTGGCCCAGCGTCGTCCAGGGTAGGGGAGGGAATGGCCGGCAGGGATGTAGCTCAGTTGATAGAGCATGGCGTTTGCAACGCCAGGGTTGTGGGTTCGATTCCCACAGGGGGTATGAAAAAAATAATAATAATGTAAGTCGCTCTGGATAAGAGCGTCTGCTAAATGACGTAAATGTAAATGTAAATTTCTATAATTTCTATAATAATGTTTTTTACAATGGAGGATGAGTACCAAAATGGCTGTGTGGTGGTTTCAAAACAGCGCCCCCAGTCAGTCAACTAGGCTTAATATATATCATTGGCTAATCAGGGCTAATATTGCAACAATGTTACAAAGACATCACTGTCAGTTTTCAAAAATGATACAATGTTGCTTATTAGCAGCTTGCTGCCCCTTGATGGAATTTTGAAAGGTCCTTGGACTGTTTTAAGAATAGCCAATTTAATTTCAAGTTAAATGCTGTGTCAAGACTCCACGTGACCTCTTTCCATTTAACCTACACACCCATACACTTGATTTATGATGATAATGATCAAACTAAATCAATGTTGCCTTCGTACTGTGTTCATTGATGATGTTGCAGGTGTCTACTTGAAACATTGTATCTGACTGTGCCATATAAACTTTACAGTGAAAAAAGAGGCTCAGAACTGGTGTTGAGCAATGAAGTAAGTATACAAGCATACGCATCAACAAATGTATAAAATGTCCAACTACATGCCACATTTGTCCCCTGACACCTGCATTGTCTCTATTTGTGCAGGACAAAGCGGCCAAGAAAGACCGGGCGGCGGTGGACTATGTCTTCTTCCTCAGAATCAGCAAGATCATCCGGATCATGGTGCCTCGATGGTTCTGCAAAGAGGTGGGCGTTGTGGTTGGGTTATTGTTGTCACAGACAATATTGTCACATATTGAGCAAAAACAAGATCAGAGTAGTTCCCAATGGCATTTTATAAGTCCATTATTATGTAGTGTGAATAATATTATTAAAAGGGAAGTTCCCCCATTTTTTTTTTTTTTTTTATTTTTTTATTTTTTTACATGTGGCCTTATATTTTCACTCTTTCTGTGCTTGTAGTTGATCCCCCAAACAGTGTTTTGATATTTTTGGTTTGTTACATCAAATTGGTTGTTACATTTTGCTGAGTAATCACTTGCCATTGACAATGCATTATGAAAATGTGTCTAAGCATGTTATAAAACGCTCAAAGACACTCCAAACCAACTCATATTACATCAGAATCTCATTCAGGATAATGTCTCTGCACAAAATGTTTTTTTTTTTTTTTTTCCCACTGTGCCATAAATCCATGTTTGAATGATGTGTTTTACAACAACAACCAAAATATGGAAACATGGATTTATGGGACAGTGGATTTAGTTTTTTAACAATTGAGCGCAGAGACATTATCCAGAATGAGATTCTGATTTGATATGAGTTGGTTTGAAGTGTTTTGGAGCGCTTTATAACATGCTTAGACACATTTTCATAATCCATTGTAGTCAATGACGTGAAGAGTCTCTGTAACGAAACAAAATATATATAAACTTAGGCATGCTGCAAGGAGGCATGAGGACTGCAGATGTGGCCAGGGCAATAAATTGCAATGTCCGTACTGTGAGACGCTTAAGACAGCGCTACAGGGAGACAGGACGGACAGCTGATCGTCCTCACAGTGGCAGACTGTGTAACAACACCTGCACAGGATCGGTACATCCCAACATCACACCTGCGGGACAGGTACAGGATGGCAACAACAACTGCCCGAGTTACACCAGGAATGCACAATCACTCCATCAGTGCTCATACTGTCCGCAATAGGCTGAGAGAGGCTGGACTGAGGGATTTTAGGCCTGTTGTAAGGCAGGTCCTCACCAGACATCACTGGCAACAACGGCGCCTATGGGCACAAACCCACCGTCGCTGGACCAGACAGGACTGGCAAAAAGTGCTCTTCACTGACGAGTCGCGGTTTTGTCTCACCAGAGGTGATGGTCGGATTCGCATTTATCGTCGAAGGAATGAGCGTTACACCGAGGCCTGTACTCTGGAGCGGGATCAATTTGGAGGTGGAGGGTCCATCATGGTCTGGGGCGGTGTGTCACAGCATCATCAGACTGAGCCTGTTGCATTGCAGGCAATCTCAACGCTGTGCGTTACAGGGAAGACATCCTCCTCCCTCATGTGGTACCCTTCCTGCAGCCTCATCCTGACATGACCCTCCAGCATGACAATGCCACCAGCCATACTGCTCGTTCTGTGTGGGATTTCCTGCAAGACAGGAATGTCAGTGTTCTGCCATGGCCAGCGAAGAGCCCGGATCTCAATCCCATTGAGCACGTCTGGGACCTGTTGGATCGGAGGGTGAGGGCTAGGGCCATTCCCCCCAGAAATGTCAGGGAACTTGCAGGTGCCTTGGTGGAAGAGTGGGGTAACATCTCACAGCAAGAACTGGCAAATCTGGTGCAGTCCATGAGGAGGAGATGCACTGCAGTACTTAATGCAGCTGGTGGCCACACCAGATACTGACTGTTACTTTTGATTTTGACCCCCCCCCTTTTGTTCAGGGACACATTATTCCATTTCTGTTAGTCACATGTCTGTGGAACTTGTTCAGTTTGTCTCAGTTGAATCTTGTTAAGTTTGCTGAAAATAAACGCAGTTGACAGTGAGAGGAAGTTTATTTTTTTGCTGAGTTTATATATTTTAAACGGTTTGGGGGATCAAGTACAAGCACCGAAAGAGTGAAAATAAGGCCACATGTAAAAATGGGTGAACTTCCTAGGCCGATAAGTTGTGTTCTGTAGGGCCACATGATAAGCATTGAACCTTGAAGTAAGTAGTCTCTGTGGTAATCGGCGATGGCCTTGTCTTGCACAGATAGATCCATGCTCCTTCATTGCGTCACTTTTACGCCACAACTTATCTCTTACTCTGTGCACGTGTCCCTCAACAGACAGTCATTAAGTGTGATCATTAACAAAGGTTGTTCGAGCTGACATGTTCTACAATATTGCCTTTAGCTTGTGTGTTCTAGAACAACACCTAAGAAGGCCAAACATAGACCTGGAATACTGACCAGTTTGTTTGATAAGCCAAGGTCTGTTGGGTGTATCAGAGTTTATCCTCTACTGAATGAACTCTAAAATGACAAAGACCTGTTGTTAGTTAAGGACAGGTCTATTCTACCAGTCATGTTGTTAGTTAAGGACAGGTCTATTCTACCAGTCATGTTGTTAGTTAAGGACAGGTCTATTCTACCAGTCATGTTGTTAGTTAAGGACAGGTCTATTCTACCAGTCATGTTGTTAGTTAAGGACAGGTCTATTCTACCAGTCATGTTGTTAGTTAAGGACAGGTCTATTCTACCAGTCATGTTGTTAGTTAAGGACAGGTCTATTCTACCAGTCATGTTGTTAGTTAAGGACAGGTCTATTCTACCAGTCATGTTGTTAGTTAAGGACAGGTCTATTCTACCGGTCATGTTGTTAGTTAAGGACAGGTCTATTCTACCGGTCATGTTGTTAGTTAAGGACAGGTCTATTCTACCAGTCATGTTGTTAGTTAAGGACAGGTCTATTCTATATTTGAACTTCCCTGTATTATCATTCATCTAGTTTGCTCAAATGATTTACAATACAACTTGATGTTGATTTGCTTAAGAACTGTCCATTGCATTGTTTAATCTGTGTATTTCATTGTATGGATTTGCTCATCTGGTGTTGTCTGTTCCCTACCTGTCCTGCACCACTTCTCTATTCCCTCCATTGTTGTCACAGACAGGATACCTTCTCCTCATAGCTGCTATGCTGGTGGCCAGGACATACTGTGATGTATGGATGATCCAGAACGGAACAATGATTGAAAGGTCAGAATCACTGCGATTAGAATACAGTGTTCTAATTCTATGGTTAGAATCACTGCGATTAGAATACAGTGTTCTAATTCTATGGTTAGAATCACTGCGATTATGGTTAGAATCACTGCGATAGAAACAGTGTCAATTCTATGGTTAGAATCATGATTAGAATACAGTGTTCCAATCTATGGTGAATCACGCGATAGAATACAGTGTTTAATTCTATGGTTAGAATCACTGCGTTAGAACATGTCTTCAATTCATGGTTAGAATCACTGCATTAGAACATGTGTAATAGGTGATCACTGCGATTAAATAGTGTTCAATTCTATGGTTAGAATCACTGCATAGAAACTGTTAATTCTATGGTTGAATCACTGCGATTAGATACAGTGTTCTAATCTGGTTGAATCATGCGTTAGAATACATGTTCTAATCTCTATGGTTAGAACTGCGTAGAACAGTGTCTAATTCTATGGTTGAAACTGCTTGCCATGAGAGTTGTGATTCTCTATAGTCTAGATGACAGTGAGTTGGTGGTGCGTTGAAGGCGATTAAAATATTATGGGCCGGTTCCCCATACACAGATTCAGCCTAATACTGGACTAAGACGCATGTTCAATGGAGATAATCATTTTTAAAGTGCTCTTTAGTCCAGGACGAGGCTTATTCTGGCTCTGGGAAACCAGCCCCATATCATATGTATTTTCCTGCGCAGGAACTGATTGCTGTCTTTCAATCTCCCACAGTGGTATCATTAGCAGAGATATCAATCTGTTCAAGAAGCACTTTTATTCCTACATTGCTGTCATACCTGGGGTAACTCTCCTCCACGTGGGTTTTTTTCACAGAACTCAAACCTATAAAACCAATAACTTGTTTTTAATGTTTCTGATCGTTTAACATGGTACATGACTAGGCTCTTCAGGTCATAACACTTACCCACTATGGCTAATTGTGATTGGTTATTCCAATGCCAATGAATCTACTACAGTATAATCAGAAATCTCTCGTGTCAGAGCTCCTCTGCTTCCATACATCTCATAGTCAATACAGCAACACACTAGCTAGGCTGTAAAGGGGAATGATCAAAGTCCTCTATCTAAATGTGTTTGGTTGTTACTTTCTTCCTACTGTCCATGACTGCTAGCCTGGTCACCTGCTATGGATGTGCTTGAGTTGGTGGTTTTTCCTTTCCAATTACTATGACCGTCATGGCAGGGGAATTGGCTGAAGCATAAACAGATCTGACTGAGGCCAGAACCTAGTCACTGCCATTACAGGTGAAATTCATTCATCTGCCAATATCTTGTCTATCTGTGTGTTCCGTTCACTGACCAAGTTGCTTCGTTCTTGTGCATGTTTTGGTTTGCAGTGCAATTATCGGTCGCTCCAACACAGACTTCAAGAACTACTTGTTCAACTTTTGCAAAGTCATGCCACTTGTAAGTGTGTTTTTGGTATTTCATTGCATCCAATATTGACTCGATTATAGATGTCCGTTGATCTATTTGACTCTGATATATTTTTTTGTACCTTTTTATTTAAAAAAAAAAAAATATATATATATATATATATATATATATATATATATATATATATGATATAAATGTCATATGACAGTAGTTGGTTAGTTGTACAGCGAAGACTCCTGTAGACTTCCTAATTTTCTCTTTTGGTGTAAATTCTCAGAGGAGACCTGATATTATTAACATGATAATATTATTATTATTAATCTCCCTCTATACTGTAGCTTATCACTTCCCAATATAATGGAGTAATAACTACATCTCACCTACTGCACTGGCTACTGCACTGGCTACTGCACTGTCTACTGCACAATAGCCATTTACAACATTAACAATGTCTACACTGTATTTCTGATCAATTTGATCTTATTTTTAATGGACAAAAAATTTCGAAAACAAGGACATTTCTAAGTGACCCCAAACTTTTGAACGGTAGTGTACATTCTGTAAAAATGTATCTTATCCTCTAGACAACTGGTATTTAATTACTGCATGCTTAGTATTCAACCGTCCCTCTGCCCATGGATTGAACACATCCAGATTTCATCACATGCGTACTGTGTTTGGAGAGTAGGCTAAGCAGTAGGTTGTGTTTTGATTTAAGAGCTGATGGTAAAGTGCACGTTTTGTGACTGACAGATTGCATTGGTGAATAACTTCCTGAAGCTGGGTCTGAATGAGCTGAAGCTGAGGTTCAGAGTTCGGCTAACCAAACACCTCTACGACGAGTACCTCAAGTAAGCACTGTTTACTTTCTACTGCACTGTCTACTGTCTACTCTACTGTCTACTTTCTACTCCACTGTCTACTCTACTGTCTACTGCACTGTCTACTGCACTGTCTACTGCACTGTCTACTGCACTGTCTACTGCACTGTCTACTGCACTGTCTACTGCAACTGGCTAATTTTGCACTGTCTACTGCACTGTCTACTGTCTACTGCACTGTCTACTGCACTGTTACTGCACTGTCTACTGCACTGCCTACTGCAACTGTCACTGCACTGTCTACTGCACTGTCTACTGCACTGTCTACTGTCTACTGTCACTGCCTGTCTACTGCACTGTCTACTGCCACTGTCTACTGCACTGTCTACTGCACTGTCTACTGCACTGTCTACTGTCTACTGCACTGTCTACTGCACTGTCTACTGCACTGTCTACTGTCTACTGCACTGTCTACTGCACTGTCTACTGCACTGTCTACTGTCTACTGCACTGTCTACTGCACTGTCACTGCACTGTTACTGTCTACTGCACTGTCTACTGCACTGTCTACTGTCTACTGTCTACTGCACTGTCTACTGCACTGTCTACTGCACTGTCTACTGCACTGTCTACTGCACTGTCTACTGCACTGTCTACTGCACTGTCTACTGCACTGTCTACTGCACTGCCTACTGCACTGTCTACTGCACTGCCTACTGCACTGTCTACTGCACTGTCTACTGCACTGCCTACTGCACTGTCTACTGCACTGTCTACTGCACTGCCTACTGCACTGTCTACTGCACTGCCTACTGCACTGTCTACTGCACTGCCTACTGCACTGTCTACTGCACTGTCTACTGTCTACTGTCTACTGCACTGTCTACTGTCTACTGCACTGTCTACTGCACTGTCTACTGCACTGTCTACTGTCTACTGCACTGTCTACTGCACTGTCTACTGTCTACTGTCTACTGCACTGTCTACTGTCTACTGTCTACTGTCTACTGTCTACTGCACTGTCTACTGTCTACTGCACTGTCTACTGCACTGTCTACTGCACTGTCTACTGTCTACTGCACTGTCTACTGCACTGTCTACTGTCTACTGTCTACTGCACTGTCTACTGCACTGTCTACTGCACTGTCTACTGCACTGTCTACTGCACTGTCTACTGCACTGTCTACTGCACTGTCTACTGTCTACTGCACTGTCTACTGCACTGTCTAGCTGTCTACTGCTACTGTCTACTGCACTGTCTACTGCACTGTCTACTGCACTGTCTACTGCACTGTCCTACTGCACTGTCTACTGCACTGTCTACTGCACTGTCTACTGCAACTGCCTACTGCACTGTCTACTGCACTGCCTACTGCACTCTACTGCACTGCCCTGCTACTGCACTGTCTACTGCACTGTCTACTGCACTGCCTACTGCACTGCCTACTGCACTGTCTACTGCACTGTCTACTGCACTGCCTACTGCACTGTCTACTGCACTGTCTACTGCACTGTCTACTGCACTGTCTACTGCACTGTCTACTGCACTGTCTACTGCACTGTCTACTGCACTGTCTACTGCACTGTCTACTGCACTGTCTACTGTCTACTGCACTGCCTACTGCACTGTCTACTGTCTACTGCACTGTCTACTGCACTGTCTACTGCACTGTCTACTGCACTGTCTACTGTCTACTGCACTACCTACTGCACTGTCTACTGTCTACTGCACTACCTACGCACTTCTACTGCACTGTCTACGCACTGTCTACTGCACTGTCTACTGCACTGCCTATGCACTGTCTACTGGTCTACTCTACTGTCTACTTCTACTCTACTGTCTACTTCTACTCTACTGTCTACTTTCTACTCTACTGTCTACTTTCTACTCTACTGTCTACTGCACTGTCTAACTGTCTACCTACTTTCTACTCTACTGTCTACTTTCTACTCTACTGTCTACTTTCTACTCTACTGTCTACTGCACTGTCTACTTTCTACTCTACTGTCTACTTTCTACTCTACTGTCTACTTTCTACTCTACTGTCTACTTTCTACTCTACTGTCTACTGCACTGTCTACTGCACTGTCTACTGCACTGTCTACTTTCTACTCTACTGTCTACTTTCTACTCTACTGTCTACTTTCTACTCTACTGTCTACTTTCTACTCTACTGTCTACTTTCTACTCTACTGTCTACTTTCTACTCTACTGTCTACTGTCTACTCTACTGTCTACTTTCTACTCTACTGTCTACTTTCTACTCTACTGTCTACTTTCTACTCTACTGTCTACTTTCTACTCTACTGTCTACTTTCTACTCTACTGTCTACTTTCTACTCTACTGTCTACTGCACTGTCTACAGCACTGTCTACTGCACTGTCTACTTTCTACTCTACTGTCTACTTTCTACTCTACTGTCTACTTTCTACTCTACTGTCTACTTTCTACTCTACTGTCTACTGCACTGTCTACAGCACGTCTACTGCACTGTCTACTTTCTACTCTACTGTCTACTTTCTACTCTACTGTCTACTTTCTACTCTACCTGTCTACTTCTACTCTACTGTCATACTTTCTACTTCTACTGTCTACTGCACTGTCTACTGCACTGGTCTACTGCACTGTCTACTTTCTACTCTACTGTCTACTTTCTACTCTACTGTCTACTTTCTACTCTACTGTCTACTCTACTGGTCTACGTTCTACTCTACTGTCTACTTTCTACTCTACTGTCTACTCTACTGTCTACTTTCTACTCTACTGTCTACTTTCTACTCTACTGTCTACTCTACTGTCTACTTTCTACTCTACTGTCCCTACTGTTACTGCACTGCTTGTCTACTGTCTACTGTCTACTGCACTGCTACTTCTACTCTACTGTCTACTTGCGACTACGTCCTACTTTCTACTCTACTGTCTACTTTCTACTCTACTGTCTACTTTCTACTCTACTGTCTACTTTTCTACTCTACTGTCTACTTTCACTCTACTGTCTACTGTCTACTGTCTACTGTCTACTGTCTACTGTCTACTCTAACTTTCTACTCTACTGTCTACTTTCTACTCTAACTGTCTACTGTCTACTGTCTACTTTCTACTCTACTGTCTACTTTCTACTCTACTGTCCTACTCTACTGTCTACTGTCTACTCTACTTTCTACTCTACTGTCTACTTTCTACTCTACTGTCTACTGCACTGTCTACTGCACTGTCTACTTTCTACTCTACTGTCTACTGCACTGTCTACTGCACTGTCTACTTTCTACTCTACTGTCTACTCTACTGTCTACTGTCTACTCTACTTTCTACTCTACTGTCTACTTTCTACTCTACTGTCTACTTTCTACTCTACTGTCTACTCTACTGTCTACTTTCTACTCTACTGTCTACTCTACTGTCTACTGTCTACTCCTGCTACTTTCTACTCTACTGTCTACTTTCTACTCTACTGTCTACTCTACTGTCTACTGTCTACTTTCTACTCTACTGTCTACTGTCTACTGTCCTACTTTCTACTCTACTGTCTACTTCTACTCTACTGTCTACTGTCTACTGCACTGTCTACTGCAACTGTCTACTGCACTGTCTACTTCTACTCTACTGTCTAACTTTCTACTCTACTGTCTACTTTCTACTCTACTGTCTACTTTCTACTCTACTGTCTACTTTCTACTCTACTGTCTACTTTCTACTCTACTGTCTACTGTCTACTCTACTGTCTACTTTCTACTCTACTGTCTACTGCACTGTCTACTTTCTACTCTACTGTCTACTTTCTACTCTACTGTCTACTTTCTACTCTACTGTCTACTTTCTACTCTACTGTCTACTTTCTACTCTACTGTCTACTTTCTACTCTACTGTCTACTTTCTACTCTACTGTCTACTGCACTGTCTACAGCACTGTCTACTGCTCTGTCTACTTTCTACTCTACTGTCTACTTTCTACTCTACTGTCTACTTTCTACTCTACTGTCTACTTTCTACTCTACTGTCTACTGCACTGTCTACTGCACTGTCTACTGCCACTGTCTACTTTCTACTCTACTGTCTACTTTCTACTCTACTGTCTACTTTCTACTCTACTGTCTACTCTACTGTCTACTTTCTACTCTACTGTCCTACTTTCTACTCTACTGTCTACTCTACTGTCTACTTTCTACTCTACTGTCTACTCTACTGTCTACTTTCTACTCTACTGTCTACTGTCTACTGTCTACTGCACTGTCTACTGTCTACTGTCTACTGTCTACTGCACTGTCTACTTTCTACTCTACTGTCTACTTTCTACTCTACTGTCTACTTTCTACTCTACTGTCTACTTTCTACTCTACTGTCTACTTTCTACTCTACTGTCTACTTTCTACTCTACTGTCTACTTTCTACTCTACTGTCTACTGTCTACTGTCTACTGTCTACTCTACTTTCTACTCTACTGTCTACTTTCTACTCTACTGTCTACTGTCTACTGTCTACTTTCTACTCTACTGTCTACTTTCTACTCTACTGTCTACTCTACTGTCTACTGTCTACTCTACTTTCTACTCTACTGTCTACTGCACTGTCTACTGCACTGTCTACTGCACTGTCTACTTTCTACTCTACTGTCTACTTTCTACTCTACTGTCTACTCTACTGTCTACTTTCTACTCTACTGTCTACTGTCTACTGTCTACTGCACTGTCTACTGTCTACTGTCTACTGTCTACTGCACTGTCTACTTTCTACTCTACTGTCTACTTTCTACTCTACTGTCTACTTTCTACTCTACTGTCTACTTTCTACTCTACTGTCTACTTTCTACTCTACTGTCTACTTTCTACTCTACTGTCTACTTTCTACTCTACTGTCTACTGTCTACTGTCTACTGTCTACTCTACTTTCTACTCTACTGTCTACTTTCTACTCTACTGTCTACTGTCTACTGTCTACTTTCTACTCTACTGTCTACTCTACTGTCTACTGTCTACTCTACTTTCTACTCTACTGTCTACTTTCTACTCTACTGTCTACTGCACTGTCTACTGCACTGTCTACTTTCTACTCTACTGTCTACTCTACTGTCTACTGTCTACTCTACTTTCTACTCTACTGTCTACTTTCTACTCTACTGTCTACTTTCTACTCTACTGTCTACTTTCTACTCTACTGTCTACTCTACTGTCTACTTTCTACTCTACTGTCTACTCTACTGTCTACTGTCTACTGTCTACTTTCTACTCTACTGTCTACTTTCTACTCTACTGTCTACTCTACTGTCTACTGTCTACTTTCTACTCTACTGTCTACTGTCTACTGTCTACTTTCTACTCTACTGTCTACTTTCTACTCTACTGTCTACTGTCTACTGCACTGTCTACTGCACTGTCTACTGCACTGTCTACTTTCTACTCTACTGTCTACTTTCTACTCTACTGTCTACTGTCTACTGCACTGTCTACTGCACTGTCTACTGCACTGTCTACTTTCTACTCTACTGTCTACTTTCTACTCTACTGTCTACTTTCTACTCTACTGTCTACTGCACTGCCTACTCTGTATTGTCTGCCACCTACTGCACTGGCTACCGTCTAATGTACCGTCTACTGCCTCTCTTCTCATAACCTTCATGTCAGGCTTTTTCATGTACATTACAATAGTCAATCTACTGTACATTCCAATAGTCTATCTACTGTACATTCCAATAGTCAATCTACTGTACATTCCAATAGTCAATCTACTGTTCATTACAATAGTCAATCTACTCTACATTCCAATAGTCAATCTACTCTACATTCCAATAGTCTATCTACTGTACATTCCAATAGTCAATCTACTGTACATTCCAATAGTCAATCTACTGTACATTCCAATAGTCAATCTACTCTACATTCCAATAGTCTATCTACTGTACATTCCAATAGTCTATCTACTGTACTTCCAATGTCATCCTGTACATTCCAATAGTCAATCTACTGTACATTCCAATAGTCAATCTACTGTACATTCCAATAGTCAATCTACTGTACATTCCAATAGTCAATCTACTGTACATTCCAATAGTCAATCTACTGTACATTCCAATAGTCTAATCTACTGTACATTCCAATAGTCTATCTACTGTACATTCCAGAGTCTACTTGTACATCCAATAGTCTATCTACTGACATTCCAATGTCATTATATGGCATTCCATAGTCAGTACTGTCTTTAATAGTCATCACTCTACATTCTAATGTCCAATATACGTGCCTTCAATAGTCATATTATGTGCATCCCAATAGTCAATCAAATGTACATGAATAGTAAATCTATGTACACTGCATAATAATTCTGTACATTGAATAGTCAATCTACTGTACATTCCAATAGTCAATCTACTGTACATTCCAATAGTCAATCTACTGTACATTCCAATAGTCAATCTACTGTACATTCCAATAGTCAATCTACTGTACATTCCAATAGTCAATCTACTGTACATTCTAATAGTCAATCTACTGTACATTCTAATAGTCAATCTACTGTACATTCCAATAGTCAATCTACTGTACATTCCAATAGTCAATCTACTGTACATTCCAATAGTCTATCTACTGTACATTCCAATAGTCAATCTACTGTACATTCCAATAGTCAATCTACTCTACATTCCAATAGTCTATCTACTGTACATTCCAATAGTCTATCTACTGTACATTCCAATAGTCAATCTACTGTACATTCCAATAGTCATTATTATGTGCATTCCAATAGTCAATGTACTGTACATTTAATAGTCTAATCTACTACATTTCAATAAATCAATATACTGTACATTCAATAGTCAATTTATGTGCATTCCAATAGTCAATCAAATGTACACTGAATGTAAATACTGTACACTGAATAGTCAATCTACTGTACATTGAATAGTCAATCTACTGTACATTCCAATAGTCAATCTACTGTACATTCCAATAGTCAATCTACTGTACATTCCAATAGTCAATCTACTGTACATTCCAATAGTCAACCTACTGTACATTCCAATAGTCAATCTACTGTACATTAATAGTTTAATCTATGTAATTCTAATAGTCAATCTACTGTACATTCAATAGTCAATCTACTTGTACATTCCAATAGTCAATCTACTGTACATTCCAATAGTCAATCTACTGTACATTCCAATAGTCAATCTACTGTACATTCCAATAGTCAATCTACTGTACATTCCAATAGTCAATCTACTGTACATTCCAATAGTCAATCTACTGTACATTCCAATAGTCAATCTACTGTACATTCCAATAGTCAATCTACTGTACATTGAATAGTCAATCTACTGTACATTCCAATAGTCAATCTACTGTACATTCGAATAGTCAATCTACTCTACATTCTAATAGTCAATATACTGTGCCTTTCAATAGTCAATATTATGTGCATTCCAATAGTCAATCAAATGTACACTGAATAGTAAATCTACTGTACACTGAATAATAAATCTACTGTACATTGAATAGTCAATCTACTGTACATCTCCAATAGTCAATCTACTGTACATTCCAATAGTCATCTATGTACATTCCAATAGTCAATCTACTGTACATTCCAATAGCAATCTACTGTAATCCAATAGTCAATCTACTGTCCCTCTAATAGTCAACCTACTGTACATTCTAATAGTCAATTACTGTACATCTAATAGTCAATCTACTGTACATTCCAATAGCCCAATCTCCCTGTAATCCAATAGTAAATCTACTGTACATTCCAATAGTCAATCTACTGTACATTCCAATAGTCAATCTATGTAACATTCCAAATAGTCAATCTACTTACTTTTCCCAATAGTCAATCTATGTACATGAAATAGTCAATCTTGTAATTCCAATAGTCAATTATGTACATTCGAATAGTCAATCTACTTTTACATTCCAATAGTAAATCAAACTGTACATTCCAATAGTCAATCTATTTCTACATTCCAATAGTCAATCTGTCCCACCGAATAGTCAATCTACTGTACACCGAATAGTCAATCTACTGTACACTGAATAGTCAATCTACTGTACACCGAATAGTCAATCTACTGTACACCGAATAGTCAAATCTACTGTCCCTTCAATAGTCAATCTACGTCTGTAATAAACTCCCTCAACATGTCTGCCATCCCCAGAGGATACACGTACTATAAAATGGGCAACCTGGATAACCGCATCGCTAACGCCGACCAGCTGCTGACTCAGGACGTGGAGAGGTTCTGTAACAGCGTGGTGGACCTCTACTCCAATCTCAGCAAGGTACAGTAGAGCGCTCCTAAACCATCGTGTTTACTGCTGTTTGAAGACCAAAGTATACCTTCTCGTCTATACCTTCTTGTGTGTGTGTGGTTCCAAGGTGTCCGGTACCAATTTGTATAGTTGTTGTAGTACACCTTAGTCTAACATTAACTTTATGTGTAAATGATACTATTGCTGAAAGCTGCTATTCACCAGGTAGGCCTACATAGTGTCAAATGTAAACAATGTACTGCATATCCCCTTTAGCCTCTCTTGGACATTGGACTGTACATCTTCAAGCTGACGTCTGCCATCGGCGCCCAGGTGAATATAAACTCAGATTCCCAGAAGCAACCAATGGATTCCATTCAAGTTTTAGAATGTACTGAAATACAAATATATTTCAAGTATAGAATGTACTGGCATTAACTTGGATGGGATGTCACCGTTTCCCCTCAGGGCCCAGCGAGTATGATGGCCTACCTGCTGATCTCAGGCCTGTTCCTGACCAGACTGCGGAGGCCCATCGGTAAGATGACGGTGACCGAGCAGCGGTACGAGGGAGAGTACCGATACGTCAACTCACGACTCATCACCAACAGGTAAAGACTCACGACTCATCACCAACAGGTGAAGGCCTGGATCTGACTTTATCATGGGTTGGCAATACAGTGCTTTTTGATTTGAGTATATCATGGGTTGGCAATACAGTGCTTTTTGATCTGAGTATATCATGGGTTGGCAATACTGTGCTTTTTGATTTGAGTATATCATGGGTTGGCAATACTGTGCTTTTTTTATTTGAAGGAAAACTTGTTAAATCACCTCTGTCATAGAGTGAGTTCTTAAAAAAAATAAAGAGAACTAAATGATGTTAAACATGTAATGTTTTGTCTCAGTGAGGAGATTGCCTTCTACAACGGGAACATGAGAGAGAAACAGACGATTCACTCAACATTTAAGAAACTGGTAAGTACCGTTTAGTCGTGTGTGTCAGTCCGAGGTATATTAAAGATCTCTATGTTCACTTCCATCTCAACGGACAAACTGCTGATTGTGAGTTTGAAAGTGTTTAATAATACTGTGATACCTTCTGTCTTCTAAGGTCGACCATTTGCACAAGTTCATCTTCTTCCGCTTCTCCATGGGCTTCGTGGACAGCCTGATCGCCAAGTGTAAGATCTAATGTTTTAACCCTACACATTAATATGATGATGTCCTCAGTTACGTAGCCAGAGATCTGATGCCAGAGAGCGATCTGGAAATGGCAGTTGGTTTCTGAACTTCTCCAACTTGCCGCTGTCCAGCCGCCACATTTTATAGTTGATTGGCCAGGCGACAAAATTAATATTGTTCAATGCATGATCTCCATGCTAACCCAGGTCTCGGGTCTCTTCCTCCCTCAGACATAGCCACTGTGGTGGGCTACCTGGTGGTGAGTCGGCCCTTCCTCAACCTGGCCGACCCCCGCCACATGAACAGCAGCCCAACCTGAGCTGTTGGAGGACTACTACCAGAGTGGCAGGATGCTGCTGAGAATGTCCCAGGCTCTGGGAAGGATCGTACTGGCTGGGCGAGAGATGACCAGGCTCTCTGGGTGAGACTTCACTCTTCCCAAAACACTCCGATCACGTATTCAATTGAATTGATTCAATTCCATTATAATTCCAAAGTAGTAGCCTACTCCAGCCAGAGACCATCCCGTAAATCCCGTCTTGCCGTGACTTCACTTTGCTCTGCCGTCAGTGCTCTCCATGCTTTCTCTCCCTAGTGCTTTGGGTAGGAGGTCTTCTGAGCTAGGCCGGTCTCCCTTCTTCTCTAGGTTCACCATGCGTATCACTGAGCTCATGAAGGTCCTGAAGGAACTGAACTCTGGGAAGTACGAGCGCACCATGGTGTCTCATCAGGACAAGGAATCAGAAGCTGTAGAAAGAGTCCCGCTGGTCCCGGGCAGCGGACGGATCATCAACGTAGACCACATCATCAAGTATGTGTGACAAAGCCTCAGTGCATTTCTGTACATAATATTGGCTGCATAAAATCTCCTTTAAATATGTTTACCTCACCGAAGTTGTCCACGGCCAATAGGTTTCCTGAGGTCTGAGGATGAATGGTCAGTAAGAATGTCTTGGTGTTGCAGGTTTGAACACACACCACTAGCAACACCCAACGGAGATGTCCTGATCAAGGACCTGAGCTTTGAAGTAGGCATCACTTTCTTTCCTTTAATGTCTTTTATTTAACTTTTTCTTTATCCTGGTTAGTCTCACTGAGATAACATCCATTTAGCTAGATACACCTGTGTGTTATCAGATCGTTAAAGCTACCATGAATGTGGAGTCCCTCTCTAATGAATGTGTGCAACTAGTTTAGTCATTCAGTCAGTTTGACATAAAGTACATTCGTATTTTAAAGTCGGGACTGTTCAAACCACTTTGATTTTAATGAGTGATATTGAAGCATTGTTGACGTTCCAAAGTTCGAAGGGCCACGTTGGATGTTACAATGTTATTCTCTCTCTCGCTCTCCTTTCGTTCTTTCTTTCTTTCTTTCTTTCTCCCCCCCCCCTCCCCAGGTGAGGTCTGGTACCAACGTGTTAGTGTGTGGGCCCAATGGCTGTGGCAAGAGTTCACTCTTCAGAGTACTGGGAGAGGTGAAGAATGTTCCGTTTTATGTTACATTTATATTGATATGACTGTGCCTGTGGGAATGAAAGTACTGCAACAAAGTCTAACATTTTGGTTGAAGTAACCTAACAGAGTAGGCCCTCGAGGTAACGTCATGTGTCTCTCCATAGCTGTGGCCCCTGTTTGGAGGACAGCTGACCAAGCCTGAGAGAGGGAAGCTCTTCTACGTTCCTCAGGTAACTAAATGGACACCTTTGAGTATTTTATATTACCAATTAGGGATGTAACGTATTCGTACCGAACCGTTCGGTACGGAACCTCAGTTTGGTCCGCACTGTAAACCCGAATGCATTGTAGGCCTATGCCTCTTGAGTAAAACGTAGCTGAAAAAAAACATTTCAAGCTTTTCCGTTTAAACAACTACACCATATGTGCACATTATCAAAATTCTAATCTTTCATTGGCACATTTCAAACTGCCCTTTTGTGAGGCGCGCAGCCGGGAAGTAGTTCCGTACGATGGCGAGTGGTGGGGTCGATAAACCAGAATTGGAGGATCCTCCATCTTCGTTTTTTAAATGTCCAGTTTAGAAACATGTTGGCTTCCCAGATTACAACGGCGATGGACAGAGTTGTGAAATAGCCACGCTCAACAAGAATAGCCTCTGCAGCCGCCAACAACCACAAATATGTTGACACATTTACGCAGACATCATCCCAGTATACCGGAGCGAGACGGAAACACAAAGAAACAACAACACAACATCGTCTCCCCTCTGCGTTCAGGCAGCCCTTGGCAGCTAATTCTGACCGGGCCAAAGAAATTCCAAGAGCGATAGCGGTAGGCTAGTTTTATATTTCTTTGGTTTTTATAGCCGTGGAAAGGCGCCCATTTTCGGTGGTTGAGAATACGGGGTTTCAGCACCTCGTGCAAGAGCTCGAGCGATGTTGTACTCCTGAGTGGCGCAGTGGTCTAAGGCACTGCATCGCAGTGCTAACTGTGCCACTAGAGATCCTGGTTCGAATCCAGGCTCTGTCGCAGCCGGCCGCGACCGGGAGACTCATGGGGCGGCGCACAATTGGCCCAGCGTCGTCCAGGGTAGGGGAGGGAATGGCCGGCAGGGATGTAGCTCAGTTGATAGAGCATGGTGTTTGCAACGCCAGGGTTGTGGGTTCGATTCCCACGGGGGGGCCAGTATAAAAAAATATGTATTCACTAACTGTAAGTCGCTCTGGATAAGAGCGTCTGCTAAATGACTAAAATGTCAATGTTACCAAAGTCCCTCTTGCACCCATTTCAAGTAAACGGGTAATACCCGCTCTATATAAGCAGGCCAAAGCCAAAATGTTCAATGAATTGGCCCAATGCACCCCGTGTTGCGCTTACTTAACAGTGACAGCCCGTCACATTACCCCAGAGTGGGAGATGTACCGCGCTACAGACACGCCCCCCATTATGAGAGTCACATCTGTTCATAACCACGATAGAAGTGGGAATTTACCACGTGCGACTGGGGGAAAATCCACTTGAACGGCCCTCCAACTGGTAATTACTAGTGGGAAACGGACTATGATCCAGATAATGCACTTCTCCCACATGGTGACCTCTGACCCTACTAAGGAAATGGCCTTTATAACAGCATTTTTCGGCAGTTAAATGCAACAACACAATATTTATAAAAAGCAATCTATTCATATGTTTTTTTTAACTCTATAATTAGTTTACAAGCATGATAGCCGTACTTTTAGTTTATGGTGACACAGCTTGTTGGCCATTAGTCAATCGGCGTTTCTCAACGAGTTCAAATCACATGAATGCATCCAACTGGTATTTACGACTTCACAACTGGTCAATTCCCACATGGTTGCAAACGCAGCATCAGAGTGTGAACTTGAGAAGCCCAACAAATGAAACCTGTCAAAACAGACGATGCAAGGAACATTGTGAACGCCGAACATCGTGAATGGCATTTAATTTTCCCCGCTGTACCGAAGCCGAACCGTGAACCCAAAAACGCAATACGTGCCGAACTGTGGGTTTGGTGAACCGTTACACCCCATTACATGTTCTATTCCATGTTTTGGCTAATTGTCAGCCATATCGGCTCTACTGTAAGTCTGTTACATCTCATTGTAGAGACCCTCCATGACCCCTGACCTCTTCCATCTTATTGTACAAGACCCTACATGACCTTTTGACCTATTGAATCCTATTGTAGCGACCGTACATGACCCTTGGCACGCTGAGGGATCAGGTGATCTACCCCGACACCTATGAGGAGCAGAAGAGGAAAGGCATCACTGACCAGGTGCTGAAGGAGTACCTGGACAACGTCCAGCTGGGTCACATCCTGGACAGAGAGGGGACCTGGGACACCGTGCAGGACTGGATGGACGTCCTCAGTGGAGGAGAGAAGCAGAGGATGGCGGTAAGAGAGGAATACTTCTTCCTGAATGGAATATTTTTCTTTTTGTTTGTTTTTTTACAATCAAAATGGTTTCTCATACCTCATTGGAGATACATTTTCCATCCATTAGTTCACACACTCATATCATCACGTTATCACAGAGTGAAACCCATACTGGCCTTCTAAATAGTAGGCATTTAGGGTATATGAAAATAGAACGTTTTATAGTATGTGAAATTTCAAAAATGTAGTATGCTTTAAATGTCAGGATGAGCCTAGTATATGTTGCTTATTAGACTAAACTAACTAGTATGTAGTACTGAGTATGTACACTGAACAAAAATATAAACGCAGCATGTAAAGTGTTGGTCCCATGATTCATGAGCTGAAATTAAAGATCCCAGAGATTTTCCATACGCACAAAATGCGTATTTTTCATAATTGTTTGGCACAGATTTGTTTACATCCCTGTTAGTGAGTACTTCTCCTTTGCCAAGATAATCAATCCACCTGACAGGTGTGGCATATCAAGAAGCTAATTAAATCACACAGGTGCGCCTTGTGCTGGGGACAATAAAAGGCCAATCTAAAATGTGCATTTATTTTTATTTTTATTTTTTACATTTTTAGTCATTTAGCAGACGCTCTTATCCAGAGCGACTTACAGGAGCAATTAGGGTTAAGTGCCTTGCTCAAGGGCACATCGACAGATTTTTCACCTAGTCGGCTCTGGGATTAGAACCAGCGACATTTCGGTTACTGGCACAACGCTCTTACCCACTAAGCTACCTGCCGCCCACATACACAATTCCACAGATGTCTCAAGTTTTCAGGGAGCGTGAATTTGGCATGCTGACTGCAAGAATGTCCACCAGAGCTGTTGCCAGAGAATGTAATGTTAATTTCTCTACCATAAGCTGCCTCCAATGTTGTTTTAGAGAATTTGGCAGTACATCCAACTGGCCTCAACCGCAGACCACGTGTATAGCGTTGTGTGGGCAAGTGGTTTGCTGATGTCAACGTTGTGAACAGAGTGCCCCATGGTGGCGGTGGGGTTATGGTATGGGCAGGCATAAGCTACGGACAACGAACACAATTGCATTTTATCGATGGCAATTTGAATGCACAGAAATACATACCGTGATGAGATCCTGAGGCCCATTTTTTTTTTTTTTTTTTTTTTTTGCGGGGGGTATCAGTAGGTAAGACCGATTTTAGGACACAGCCATTGACTTTGTTTGGTCTGCTTCATGTGTGTCTGTAGATGGCCCGGTTGTTCTACCACAAGCCTCAGTTTGCCATCCTGGATGAGTGCACCAGTGCTGTGAGTGTTGATGTGGAGGACTTCATCTACAGCCACTGCAGAACGGTACGGACACCACTCCAACCTTTTAGCCTGGACTCTTAGCATGTACTGCTATATGGTACATTCCGAAAGTATTCAGACCCCTTCCCATTTTCCACATTTTGTTATGTTACAGCCTTATTCTAAAATGGATGTTTTGTTAAATTACCCTCATCAATCTACACACAGTACCCCATAATGACAAATCGAAAACAGGTTTTTAGAATTTTTAGCAAATGTATAAAAAATAGGGGTGTAACGATCCATCTACTACATCGATGTATCGATTTATATTCCTATGATCCAACAACATCGATCTGTGCTCGGCGAGTTGGCCTTTTGGACAACATATATCGATCTAACATCGTTTTAAAATGTAATAAATCGATTGTATCGATACTAGGAAATAACCCATTGGATTTAAGCACGTCAGACTTTTATATGGATGTTTTTTCTTAGCACTTTTAATGATAAAGGCTTTAAACATTACTCGATTCAGTCTGCCTATCCGTGACGTCATCGCGCCAGCAGCAGCGCAAAGGCGCCAAGACAACAAAATAAAGCATGGCGGACAACAGAGGAGAAGCGGACAACAGAGGAGAAGCCGACGAGCGAGAAATTATCAAGCCACCATTGCGGTCCTTACAAGAAACAGGAATCTAGGAAACTTCACCTGCACTGTCCAGTATCCAGGTATTTATTTCAGTCACACTGGTTGAATTTTTGGCTAAAAGGTTACTGAATCGATTTCAAGTCACTGAATCGTTTCGGATCGTATCGTTCTAAATGAACCAATATCGTCCTTGAATCGTATCGACAACCACGAATCGTGATACAAATCGAATCGTTACACCCCTAATAAAAAAACAAAAACAGAAATACCTTATTTACATAAGTATTCAGACCCTTTGCTATGTGACTCAAAATTGAGCTCCGGTGCATCCTGTTTCCATGGATCATCCTTGAGATGTTTCTACAACTTGATTGGAGTCCACCTGTGGTAAATTCAATTGATTGGACATGATTGGGAAAGGCACACACCTGTCTCTATAAGGTCCCACAGTTGACAATGCATGTCAGAGCAAAAACCAAGTCATGAGGTCGAAGGAATTCTCCGTAGAGCTCCGAGACAGGATTGGGTCAAGGCACAGATCTGGGAAAGGGTACCAAAAAATGTCTGCAGCATTGAAGGTCCCCAAGAACACAGTGGCCTCCATCATTCTTAAATGGAGAAAGTTTGGAACCACCAATACTCTTCCTAAATCTGGCCACCTAGCCAAACTGAGCAATCAGGGGAGAAGGGCCTTGGTCAGGGAGGTGACCAAGAACCTGATGGTCACTCTGACAGAGCTCCAGAGTTCCTCTGTGGAGATGGGAGAACCTTCCAGAAGGACAACCATCTCTGCAGCACTCCACCAATCAGGCCTTTATGGTAGAGTGGCCAGACGGAAGCCACTCCTCAGTAAAAGGCACATGACAGCCCACTTGGGCACCTAAAGACTCTCAGACCATGAGAAGTTTTTTTTCAGCGGCAGTGATTGGGAGTCTAGTCAGGATCGAGGGAAAGATGAACAGAGCAGAGTGCAGAAAGATCCTTGATGAAAACCTGCTCCAGAGCGCTCAGGACCTCAGACTGGGGCAAAGGTTCACCTTCCAACAGGACAATGACCCTAAGCACACAGCCAAGACAACGCAGGAGTGGCTTCAGGACAAGTCTCTGAATGTCCTTGAGTGGCCCAGCCAGAGCCCGGACTTGAACCCGATCGAACATCTCTGGAGAGACCTGAAAATAGCTGTGCAGCAACGCTCCCCATCCAACCTGACAGAGCTTGAGAGGATCTGCAGAGAAGAATGGGAAAAACTCCCCAAATACAGGTGTGTCCAAGCTTGTAGCATCAGACCCGAGAAGACTCGAGGCTGTAATCTCTGCCAAAGGTGCTTCAACAAAGTACTTAGTAAAGGGTCTTGAATACTTATATAAATGTAATATTTCTGTTTTTATTTTCTATAAATTTGCAAACATTTCAAAAACCTGTTTTTGATTTGTTATTATGGGATATTGTGTGTAGATTTATGAGGGGGGAATAAACAGTTTTATCAATTTTAGAAAAGGCTGTAACGTTACAAAATGTGGGAAAAGTCAAGGGGTCTGAATACTTTCCGAATGCACTGTATGTCTGAGTGCTTACTTCTAAGTCCATCTTTTATAAATCTCCAGTTTAATAAATAATAATACACGCTACATACAAGTTAAGTCTTCAGCATGGTTCATCTAGTTCTTTTGGTGTGTAGCTCCATATGTGTTCTCTGACTGGTTTGTTTCTATAGGTTGGCATCAGTCTGTTCACTGTCTCTCACAGAAAGTCTCTGTGGAAACACCATGAGGTAAGATCGCAACCTTTTCTGGAAACACTGGGACGTGGGAATGTGTGGCTACTGATGTGTCAATGTACTGTTGGGAATGCTCTGGGAGATTATTGTGGGAAACTCTTTCTGGCAGTTTCAAAATATGTATATTTTGTTTAATTTGTGTCATGTAAACAAGGGTTTATTCAAGTTCCCCTGGTGTGGCTGCAACCATGCACCATGTACAGAATGTCCGTTTGGAAAAAACACAATGTTGCACATGATTAATAATTCAAGAAGTTTGTATGGCTGAAATGAGACTCTTTTTGTTTTTTTTGTAATTTTCTCCAGTACTACCTTCACATGGACGGGAGAGGTAACTACGACTTCAAACCCATCACCGAGGAGACCATCGAGTTTGGCTCCTAGACGAACACGCGCACCATCATTTGTCCTAGAGGAAGGTGTCCACTAATTCTGCACTTAAAACAAGTTTTGAACTAAACCTAGACTATTGTTTTTAATCAATTGTAACCTCCTTTTTTGTTTGTATTCATTTGACAAAGCCGTATTTAAAAGATCTTGTTAGTCTGATCAAGAAAGCATTTGTCCACGGTGATTGTATATAACTTGCCATGTATGGTCCAAACTCATGCAGATTAATGGGCTAATCCAATCCAGATGAATTATGTTTGTTATACAACTGTGAACTGAATCATGTTTCGTAACAATTAAGATTACTCTTATCTGATGAATTAACACAGGGAGATGGAGCCTAGGTGATGGTTTTGTGGTCCTTTAGATAAGTCACTGAGGGCAGGTAACAGTATAATCGGTATCTTGTCTTTTTCTAAGGTACATGTATAATATGCAAATTAAGCTGCTAGTTTCCTCTATTGTGGTGAAGTCCTTCCATGTGCTTTCCTAGCCTGGTCCCTGATCTGTTTGTACTGTCTGGGACCAGGCTAGTCTATCAAGGCCTTTCCTAGCCTGGTCCCTGAGTCCAGGACCAGGCTAGTCTATCAAGGCCTTTCCTAGCCTGGTCCCTGATCTGTTTGTACTGTCTAGGACCAGGCTAGTCTATCAAGGCCTTTCCTAGCCTGGTCCCTGATCTGTTTGTACTGTCTGGGACCAGGCTAGTCTATCAAGGCCTTTCATTTCCTGGTCCCTGATCTGTTTGTACTGTCTAGGACCAGGCTAGTCTATCAAGGCCTTTCATTTCCTGGTCCCTGATCTGTTTGTACTGTCTAGGACCAGGCTAGTCTATCAAGGCCTTTCATTTCCTGGTCCCTGATCTGTTTGTACTGTTGCTCTTCCTCGGATCAGGATGGTGCAGTGTAATAGACCCCAGAAGGCTTATTTCTTTACCACAGCAGTAACTACTACCCAACAGTTGCCTCTTATCAGTGTAATATACTGACTGTAACAATATTGTTCGTCCATTTTAGAAATGAACTGTAAAGAAACAGGCTCTGTAAAACTCATAGTTATATAGGCGAGGGACTGTAATATAGTGACTTGACTCTTTAAGTGCATGTGCCTGCAATAAAACTGTACGAACAATGCATTTTCATTAAAACAGAGACTGGACTGGAGTGTGTTTATTACCACAGGGACACTTTCAGTTGCCAAAATGTTGTTGAACGTTGCAGATCGAATAGAGCCCACGTGATCGCCGTGAATAGAGCCCACGTGATCGCCGTGAATAGAGCCCACGTGATCGCCGTGAATAGAGCCCACGTGATCGCCGTGAATAGAGCCCACGTGATCGCCGTGAATAGAGCCCACGTGATCGCCGTGAATAGAGCCCACGTGATCGCCGTGAATAGAGCCCACGTGATCGCCGTGAATAGAGCCCACGTGATCGCCGTGAATAGAGCCAACGTGATTCCTTGTTCTAGCTGTTTGTCCTACATAACCTATTTCTATCTGAGCGTTCCAAAACGTCGTGCTGACCGTGTTTAGTGGGCTTCTGGTTTTATGTCCTTAAAATCCTTAAAGGATTTAGTATCACATAGAAAGTAACACAATGTGAAAGGTAGGTAGGTGTGGCTCGGTTGGTAGAGCATGGCGCTTACAACGCCAGGGTTGTGGGTTCGATTCCCACAGGGAGCCAGTATGTAAATGTATGCGCTCTGGATAAGAGCGTCTGCTAAATGACTAAAATGTAAATGTAACAATATTATAATATGCCATTTAGCAGACACTTTTATCCAAAGCGACTTACAGTCATGCGTGCATACATTATTTTATTTTTTTGTGTATGGGTGGTCCCGGGGATCGAACCCACTACCTTGGTGTTACAAGCGCTGTGCTCTACCAGCTGAGCTACAGAGGGAGGTAAATGGTTTAAAGACAACAAAGTCAAGGTATTGGAGTGGCCATCACAAAGCCCTGACCTCAATCCTATAGAAAATGTGTGGGCAGAACTGAAAAAGCGTGTGCGAGCAAGGAGGCCTACAAACCTGACTCAGTTACACCAGCTCTGTCAGGAGGAATGGGCCAAAATTCACCCAACTTATTGTGGGAAGCTTGTGGAAGGCTACCCGAAACGTTTGACCCAAGTTAAACAATTTAAAGGCAATGCTACCAAACACTAATAGAGTGGGAATGTGATTAAATAAATGCTTAAATAAATAATTCTCTCTACTATTATTCTGACATTTTACATTCTTAAAATAAAGTGGTGATCCTAACTGACCTAAGACAGGGAATTTTTACTAGGATTAAATGTCAGGAATTGTGAAAAACTGAGTTTAAATGTATTTGGCTAAGGTGTATGTAAACTTCAGACTTCAACTGTACATACACACACAGTTGAAGTCGGAGGTTTACATACACCTTAGCCAAATACATTTAAACTCAGTTTTTCACAATTCCTGACATTTAATCCTAGTAAAAAATCCCTGTCTTAGGTCAATTAGGATCACCACTTTATTTTAAGAATGTAAAATGTCAGAATAATAGTAGAGAGAATGATTTATTTAAGCTTTTATTTCTTTCATCACATTCCCAGTGGGTCAGAAGTTTACATACACTCAATTAGTATTTGGTAGCATTGCCTTTAAATTGTTTAACTTGGGTCAAACATTTCGGGTAGCCTTCCACAAGCTTCCCACAATAAATTGGGTGAATTTTGGCCCATTCCTCCTGACAGAGCTGGTGTAACTGAGTCAGGTTTGTAGGCCTCCTTGCTCGCACACGCTTTTTCAGTTCTGCCCACAAATGTTCTATAGGATTGAGGTCAGGGCTTTGTGATGGCCACTCCAATACCTTGACTTGGTTGTCCTTAAGCCATTTCAACACAACTTTGGAAGTATGCTTGGGGTCATTGTCCATTTGGAAGACCCATTTGCGACCAAGCTTTAACTTCCTGACTGATGTCATGAGATGTGCTTCAATATATCCACATAATTTTCCTTCCTCATGATGACATCTATTTTGTGAAGTGCACCAGTCCCTCCTGCAGCAAAGCACCCCCACAGCATGATGCTGCCACCCCCGTGCTTCACGGTTGGGATGGTGTTCTTCGGCTTGCAAGCAACCCCCTTTTTCCTCCAAACATAACGATGGTCATTATGGCCAAACAGTTCTATTTTTGTTTCATCAGACCAGAGGACATTTCTCCAAAAAGTACGATCTTTGTCCCCATGTGCAGTTGCAAACCGTAGTCTGGCTTTTTTATGGCAGTTTTGGAGCAGTGGCTTCTTCCTTGCTGAGCGGCCTTTCCGGTTATGTCGATATAGGACGCGTTTACCTCTGAATATAGATGCTTTTGTACCTGTTTCCTCCAGCATCTTCACAAGGTCCTTTGCTGTAGTTCTCGGATTGATTTGCACTTTTCGCACCAAAGTACGTTGATCTCTAGCAGACAGAACGCGTCTCCTTCCTGAGCGGTATGACGGCTGCGTGGTCCCATGGTGTTTATACCTGCGTAGTATTGTTTGTAAAGATGAACGTGGTACTTTCAGGCGTTTGGAAATTGCTCCCAAGGATGAACCAGACTTGTGGAGGTCTACAATTTTATTTCTGAGGTCTTGGCTGATTTATTTTGATTTTCCCATGATGTCAAGCAAAGAGGCACTGAGTTTGAAGGTAGGCCTTGAAATACATCCACAGGTACACCTCCAATTGACTCAAATGTTGTCAATTAGCCTATCAGAAGCTTCTAAAGCCAAGACATCATTTTCTGGAATTTTCCAAGCAGTTTAAAGGCACAGTCAACTTAGTGTATGTAAACTTCTGACCCACTGGAATTGTGATACAGTGAATTATAAGTGAAATAATCTGTAAACAATTGTTGGAAAAATTACTTGTGTCATGCACAAAGTAGATGTCCTAACCGACTTGCCAAAACTATAGTTTGTTAACAAGAAATGTGTGGAGTGGTTGAAAAATGAGTTTCAATGACTCCAACCTAAGTGTATTTAAACTTCAGACTTCAACTGTAGATAGGTAACACTATGGGGGGGGGGAGGGAGCTACATAGGTAGGTAACACTATGAGGGAGGGAGGGAGGGAGGGATAATGTATAATAATGTATCCATAATGTAGCTAGGACTTTCCCAATTCCTTATTTGAACCTTGGCGCAGAGTTGTAAAAACAATTTACCTGAGTTGTAAAAAAAAAAAAAAAGCTTTGCCTTGAGCATTCCCTTTATTGGTACGCCTCTCGGACTTACTGGGTGAAAGGTCATTGGATCTACATATATCCACTACAGACTTTTGGGGCGTAGAACCAAAGTACACACGTGATGTGGCCTGACCATGTTAATCATTAGATAAAGAGACATACTAAGAGAAGCTTTATAGTCGGGCTATAGATTAAGTCACGTGTTAAGGTGAAAAAAAAATCGAAGTTCTGTTTTTTTATTTTATTTTTATACTAAATGTCTTGTTTTCATGTAATTGTAGTATTCATATATGTAGCTAAATGATTTACATTCCAAATATACTATTGTATTCTTATTACACCCCAATTGAATGCTAATTTGATCACTTAAATTGGTTTCTAGTGTGAACCGCATCTAGTTTTAAAAGGAAACTCAAAGTTCCTGTTTGTAGAGTGTATAGATGTGTAGCCACTGCTTAGCCAATCAGCTGTTGTTCTGAGTCATTTCATCTCGGATGGCTCAATGCAGGAAGTTATTCTGAAACCACAACACTGCTTCCTCTCGATGAACAGTTCTCAAGAGAACCATAAAGAAAGATTGTTTCTGTTACAGCATGCAACACATTGACTGACTGCTCCACCGATCATTGTCCTTGTTAGTAAGTCCACACCTCTCCATCCTGGGGGAATGGACAGGCTTCATCTGCTGCTATTGGTTTGCGTAAATGCATTCTGTCCACGCTGCCAGCCACTGGAACAAGGTACAGTTTTCTATCGATCACTGTTATCTGTAAGTCACCTTCATCCTGTTTCCTAATATCCATTTTTGAATTCAGACTGTAATGTCAACGTACCAAAGCCTAATTTTTTAAGATGGTATGAAATAGAAAGTAAAATAACAATGTGATTGGTCTGCTGTGTTTGTGTCACCTGTTCGATAGCATCGCTGCGGTTCGTCGGGCTGGGGGACTGGGGAGGCCTCCCATTCTTCCCCTACTACACCCCTCATGAGCAGGCTATCGCCAAAGAGCTCTCCTGGGCGGCCCAGACTCAGGGACTGGACTTTGTATTCAGTCTGGGGGACCATTTCTACTACAGCGGAGTGGAGGACGTGGATGACCACCGCTTCAAGGTCACTTCACACTACAGTCGCTCTGCCACACTGTTCACACTGCAACGCATAGGCTGCGTTTACACAGGCAGCCCAATTCTGATCTTTGCGTGATTATTGGCAAAAGATCTGATCTGATTGTTCTAAAGACCAATTATTGGCAAAAGATCTGATCTGATTGTTCTAAAGACCAATTGTTGGCAAAATGATCTGATCTGATTGTTCTAAAGACCAATTATTGGCAAAAGATCAGTATTGTGCTACCTGTGTAAACGCAGCCACAGGCTTGGGTTGAAACACCACACAACAGCAAACCATTATTGTGATGACAAACTCAGCAACTGTTCTGACAACAGTTAGTAAACATCATATCTTACCATAGGCAGTTAGATTCTAACTTAACATCTCAACATATCTAACCTACATCTCGTGTGTGGCATTGTGAATAATGTGAATCTAGAACACGCATACAACAGTCATACTGAAGGACTTTGAAAATGGCAAGAGAGCAAAACTAAATATCTAATGCTCCATTCTGTGTAACAGATTGTTTGTGAAATATGCGTTGACATGAGAAGTGCCGAGTCATGGAGTCACAGTTGTTCCCTGTTTCTAGCCAGCCAGCTTTGTGACAGAGAGAATGTGGTTAGTCGAGTATATACAGGGACGTAACACAGACTGACAGACGGAGCTGTGTTCAGATCACATTGTTCTCGTATTAGTGAAGAGGGCACTTTTCTCTTCTCAGTCCTAGAGCCACATGATTCTCTTTTTCTGAAATAAAGCGAAGCGTTACGCCCTCTTGTGGTGGCATATTGTAGATCAACTATTTCTTCAGAGCGTTGTGATTATACTAGTGTTGCAGCACACAGAATGTTATACAGTATAACATAAATAGTGATATGTTATATATCAAATCTCTCTAGTTTTTCACCCTTCAGTAATTTTCCTGGGTTGGTAATTACCTTTTTTGTTTTCCTCCTGCAGAATACCTTTGAGGATGTCTTCTCTCAATCCTCGCTGGTTGACGTCCCATGGTACCTGGTGGCAGGAAACCATGACCACGTTAAAAACGTGTCCGCTCAGATCGCTTACTCCAACAGATCGAAGAGATGGTGAGCATCTTAGTAAAGATCTTTAACTGTGTATTTTAATTGTTTGTTTTTTTACGCCACACATCCTGAATACAACATTCATACGCCAATTAGCAGATGCTTTCATCCAAATCGTGCATACATTTTGAATATATGATCCCATGCGGGAATTGAACCCACAACCTTTTTTGTTTGCTAGCGCCACACTCTTAGCAACTGAGCCACACGAACAGGGCCATGACTTCTCTGTTGTTCTCTCGTCCTCGTTACCTCAGGAGGTTCCCGGAGCTTTACTTTGAGCTTCAGTTCAAGGTTCCCCAGAGTAACGTGTCGGTGACCGTCCTGATGGTTGACACCGTGGTGCTGTGTGGGAACACTTATGAGGGGACCCAGCCCAAAGGAGAGGAGGACCCGGAGGCTGCTGCCAAGCAGTTAGACTGGATCAACTCCAGACTGGCAAACAGCAAGTAAGTCCACATGGTACAGTTTTACTGGACCCAGATTAAGCATAGTCCTGGTCTAGAAAGTTTAATGGAGATTTGACCCTGTTTTTTTTTGTCCAGGACTATGCTTAATATGGGTTTGAGAAACTGGCCCTAAAATACAACAGGTCAAACACAGCCTCTCATTAAAGTACATCAGTGAAACCTTTGTAGTGAAACAGCAACTTGTTCTGTGAGTAAATAAAGGATGGATTCAAGGTTGTTCAAGGTTGAGGAAAATAAAAGTATTTGATCTGACAAGTTGTCGTTTGAGCCTCGGGAGAATAATGTGAAGATTTCCGAGCATGAAGAGATCCCTGACTGGCCACGCCCCTCTTTTAGAGATCCCTGATTGACCACGCCCCTCTTTTAGAGATTCCTGACTGACCACACCACTCTTTTAGAGATCCGTGACTGACCACACCCCTCTTTTAGAGATACCTGACTGACCACGCCCCTCTTTTAGAGATACCTGACTGACCACGCCCCTCTTTTAGAGATACCTGACTGACCACACCCCTCTTTTAGAGATACCTGACTGACCACGCCCCTCTTTTAGAGATACCTGACTGACCACGCCCCTCTTTTAGAGATACCTGACTGACCACGCCCCTCTTTTAGAGATCCCTGACTGACCACGCCCCTCTTTTAGAGATACCTGACTGACCACGCCCCTCTTTTAGAGATACCTGACTGACCACGCCCCTCTTTTAGAGATACCTGAATGCCACGGCCCCTGTTTTAGAGATTCCCTGCTGACCACGCCCCTCTTTTAGAGATCCCTGACTGACCACGCCCCTCTTTTAGAGATCCCTGACTGACCACGCCCCTCTTTTAGAGATACCTGACTGACCACACCCCTCTTTTAGAGATACCTGACTGACCACACCCCTCTTTTAGAGATCCCTGACTGACCACACCCCTCTTTAGAGATCCCTGGACTGACCACACCCCTCTTTTAGAGATCCCTGACTGACCACACCCCTCTTTTAGAGATCCCTGTCTGACCACACCCCTCTTTTAGAGATCCCTGACTGACCACACCCCTCTTTTAGAGATCCCTGACTGACTAGACCCCTCTTTTAGACTCCTCCACTCTCATCACTCTTTTAATCAAGAAATACCTTCACACTGCTACACACACATTCCTCAACTGTTACTGAATGAGGAATAGATACTCCTGTAACCATGATGAACCACACGCGCATGATGAGTAACCTTGCCTGAGACTTGGAAGACTTGCGCTAGCTCCCTGAAGACAACGCCGTCGGCTTTAGAGCTCAGGTGGCTAACACAGTCTTGTCTGTCCTTCTCTCCCAGGTCAGAGTTCATTGTAGTGGCTGGTCACTATCCTGTGTGGTCCATTGGTCATCATGGTCCTACAAAGTGTCTTGTGGACAGACTACGTCCCCTGCTGAAGAAGTATGATGTCACAGTCTACCTGAGTGGACATGACCACAGCATACAGGTGGGTTATCATGCATGTTATGACCATACATTTACATTCTATAACATGGGTTCAAAGTTACAGTTTGAATAGACAAAATGTTACCATTTCACATTCACTTATTGAACAACTGCTGTTGACCCTTACTCTCTCGCCAGTTTATCAGAGAGGATGATGGGAGTTCCTATGTGGTCAGCGGTAGCGGGAACTTTGCAGACGTGTCCACCAACAACATCAACAGCTTCCCGTCGTCGTGGCAATGGTTCTCCAACGCCGTCAACCGTACGTCCGGAGGATTCGCTTACTTTGTGGTCACCGGGAACAATATGACTGTCAGCTACATTCAGACTGACGGGAGATGTGTTTATCAAACAGCGCTGGCAAAACGCAAAGTCTGACACAGACAGAGGCATCACGGTGAACGCGAACATCACGAACTACCAATACGAGATAGTTAACAATAAACTAATACAGGCCTAATATACTGACTGTTTTTAACCTCTTAAACTCTCACATTGTTGACTAAAACAACGCATATTGTATACTACCCCTCATAAAGTACATTTCGGTTTCAGAACTGTAAGTCCTACAAAACACATGCTTAGTACTGTTGGAATGGTAGGAACTGATAAAGGTGTCAGAAACTATGGTGACTCCTACAAAGGTCAAGGTACAGCAGGCCAAAAATACAGAAATTAACCTTTTTATTTAATTTATTCGGGGGGGGTGCGGGGGGGGGTCCCCATCCATTGATGTAAATTTCTCCCGAGTGGCGCAGCGGTCTAAGGCACTGCATCTCAGTGCTTGAGGCGTCACTACAGACCCCCTGGTTCGATTCCAGGCTGTATCACAACCGGCCGTGATTGGGAGTCCCATAGGGCGGCAAACAATTGGCCCAGCATCGTCCGGGTTTCGCCGGTGTAGGCCGTCATTGTAAATAAGAATTTGTTCTTAACTGACTTGCCTAGTTAAATAAAGGTAAAATAAAAAATAATAAAAAATAAATGCATATCCCCTGTCTGATTCCCAGTTTGTACACTAGATGGCAGTAGCAGATCACATGACGTCTCTTGGCCACTTGAAACCAGTTGAGTCGGGTTTGGGCAGTGAGGTCACTGTGCCAAAATGGCTGAAACAGATTTTAAAGCCCGACATCTTTCATGTTATATAGTTTGTTTATTTAACTAAAAACACAGACAGGTGAGGAAACTGTTCCTATTGTAAACGAGTGAGCTAGCTAAACAGTGCACGTGGAGGATGCATACAAGGTAATGTGGATGGAGAAGGTAATGCATTACTTTACAATGACCATCAGGATGGACCCTTTCTATGCATGCTAAATGTTTGCACTTTTGGTGACTTGACCTACATTGCATACTCTGTGAACATGACCATAAAGTATGAGCTCCTGAGTGGCAGTGGTCTAAGGCGCTGCATCGCAGTGCTAACTGTGCCACTAGAGATCCTGGTTCGAATCCAGGCTCTGTCGCAGCCGGCCGCGACCGGGAGACTCATGGGTGGTGCACAATTGGCCCAGCGTCGTCCAGGGTAGGGGAGGGAATGGCCGGCAGGGATGTAGCTCAGTTGATAGAGCATGGCGTTTGCAACGCCAGGGTTGTGGGTTCGATTCCCATGGGGGGCCAGTATAAAAAAATATAGAGATATATATATATATATGTATTCACTAACTGTAAGTCGCTCTGGATAAGAGCCTCTGCTAAATGACTAAAATGTAAAATGTAAATGTATGGTTTATGGCCTTTACTTTTAAGTATTTGCCTAAAACTGTTTGGTATAAATATATATTCAAGATCTATTTACTGATCCCTCAAACCTCTAAAACAGGGAATCTCCAACTGGTGGCCCGCGGGCCGAATTTGGCCTGCGGGTGGTTTTATTTGGCCCCCTACGTTTTCTGAGCAAAATAATAATTTTTTGTGTGGACTTAATAGAATATAAAAACACCAGGAAATCAGCTCCAAGTGATTTTAATTTAAGAAATCTGTTCCCAGTATTCCCACCCATAATAGAGACGTGATCATATACAAATGTAAGCAAGGTTGGAAATGATTATGTTTTAGTCAAACATTATAACTGTTTGGGCTTCTTGTGATCAATTTGCAGTCTACAAATTATTTGTAATTATGTTCCGGCCCCCCGACCCTCCGCTCAAGAAAATTTTTTTACATTTACATTTTAGTCATTTAGCAGACGCTCTTATCCAGAGTGACTTACAGTTAGTGAGTGCATACATTTTTTTTTTTTTAATTTTTTTCATACTGGCCCCCTGTGGGAATCGAACCCACAACCCTGGCGTTGCAAACGCCATGCTCTACCAACTGAGCTACATCCCTGCCGGCCATTCCCTCCCCTACCCTGGACGACGCTGGGCCAATTGTGCGCCGCCCCATGGGTCTCCCGGTCGCGGCTGGCTACGACAGAGCCTGGATCTAGTTGATCCCTGATCTAAAACATAAATACATCTTAAAAGAACCTAATACACAAATAGTACTTCTAGAATGGCTACACATAATACATTAAGCATCTTAATTATTATTTTCATATTATTTAGTATTCAGCAGTCTCCCAAAATCAAGTTATATTTTTTCCAAAGATCATATCAACTTAAAAACGATATAAAACACAACAAAATCTGAACAGTTGGTAGTGTTTATAAAAGCTAATAAATAAAAAGGAGAATATTTTCATCATTGCACGGAAACAAAATATACACTAGAGTATGTGTAACACATTCACTGTGCGATTTCACAGAAGAATGTTGCCCTGCAGCCTCCATTTCAAAGTCCAGTTCAGCTGTACCTTGTGTGTCGACGATACATTTTTACACACTTTTTAGTGGGACTCCCTCTTTTCCACTTGTGTTGGCTTTCCTTGTGCGTTGGCAGCACACCACTGTGACTACGATAGCCACTACTATGATCAGAATGATCAGGAGGATGAACCCAGCGATCACACCGAGCCCAAATTCTGGAGAGGAAACGGGATAGTGGAGTGTTATCGGGAAGCATGATGATTCACACACACACTGTGAGAAATGATAAGCACCTAAAACCGGAAGTTTACATACACTTAGGTTGGAGTCATTCAAACTTGTTTTTCAACCACTCCACACATTTCTTGTTAACAAACTATAGTTTTGTTAAGTCGGTTAGGACATCCACTTTGTGCATGTCACAAGTAATTTTTCCAACAATTGTTTTCAGACAGAATATTTCACTTATAATTCACTGTATCACAATTCCAGTGGGTCAGAAATTTACATACACTAAATTGACTGTGCCTTTAAACAGCTTGGAAAATTCCAGAAAATGATGTCATGGCTTTAGAAGCTTCTGATAGGCTAATTGACATCATTTGAGTCAATTGGAGGTGTACCTGTGGATGTATTTCAAGGCCTACCTTCAAACTCAGTGCCTCTTTGCTTGACATCATGGGAAAATCAAAATAAATCAGCCAAGACCTCAGAAATAAAATTGTAGACCTCCACAAGTCTGGTTTATCCTTGGGAGCAATTTCCAAACGCCTGAAGGTACCACGTTCATCTGTACAAACAATAGTACGCAAGTATAAACACCATGGGACCACACAGCCGTCATACCGCTCAGGAAGGAGATGCGTTCTGTCTCCTAGAGATGAACGTACTTTGGTGCGGAAAGTGCAAATCAATCCCAGAACAACAGCAAAGGACCTTGTGAAGATGCTGGAGGAAACAGGTACAAAAGTATCTATATCCACAGTAAAACATGTCCTATATCAACATAACCTGAAAGGCCGCTCAGCAAGGAAGAAGCCACTGCTCCAAAACCGCCATAAAAAAGCCAGACTACGGTCTGCAACTGCACATGGGGACAAATATTGTACTTTTTGGAGAAATGTCCTCTGGTCTGATGAAACAAAAATAGAACTGTTTGGCCATAATGACCATCGTTGTGTTTGGAGTAAAAAGGGGGATGTTTGCAAGCCGAAGAACACCATCCCAACCATGAAGCTCGGGGGTGGCAGCATCATGCTGTGGGGGTGCTTTGCTGCAGGAGGGACTGGTGCACTTCACAAAATAGATGGCATCATGAGGAAGGAAAATTATGTGGATATATTGAAGCAACATCTCAAGACATCAGTCAGGAAGTTAAAGCTTGGTCGCAAATGGGTCTTCCAAATAGACAATGACCCCAAGGATACTTCCAAAGTTGTGGCAAAATGGCTTAAGGACAACAAAGTGTGGCCATCACAAAGCCCTGACCTCATCCTATAGAACATTTGTGGGCAGAACTGAAAGAGCGTGTGCGAGCAAGGAGGCCTACAAACCTGACTCAGTTACACCAGCTCTGTCAGGAGGAATGGGCCAAAATTCACCCAACTTATTGTGGGAAGCTTGTGGAAGGCTACCCGAAATGTTTGACCCAAGTTAAACAATTTAAAAGGCAATGCTACCAAATACTAATTGAGTGTATGTAAACTTCTGACCCACTGGGAATGTGATGAAAGAAATAAAAGCTGAAATAAATAATTAAATAAATCATTATCTCTACTATTATTCTGACATTTCATATTCTTAAAATAAAGTGGTGATCCTAAATGACCTAAGGCAGGGAATTTTTACTAGGATTAAATGTCAGGAATTGTGAAAAACTGAGTTTAAATGTATTTGGCTAAGGTGTATGTAAACTTCCGACTTCAACTGTAAGTGTTCGATTTTCACTGGGCCACATTTCCTTAATGAACACAAGTGAGTGACAGCATCCATTTATTATTAGCATGTGATCCCTGTGGGACTTGAACCCACAACCTTGGCATTGCTAGTATCCTTACCTTCAAAGATGGACTTATTGGCGCCTGGTGAACACTGTCTTTTACTGAGCTCTCCCAGCTGTTTGTCTGCGCTGCGGGAGGGGATGTAGGCCTGCACGTTGAAGCAGTAACTCACCCCAGGCTCAACATCCCTCCTGTCTAGCTCTATCTCACTGCTGGCAGAGATCTTTGTTTTCTAGAGGGACGATTACACAAAGGAAGGGCTTGTATTGTGTCTTCTTCCGTATTTTCATTTTCTATTACTTGTTCAATACTGTTGTAATGTCATTAAACTAGTATATATATATTAATGACACACATGCAATATAATCAGAAGTGAGCGTTTGCCGAACTCATTATCATCCACTGCATATTACATTCCTTGACTTGGCTCCTTTTGAGGAACCTACACCATTGAGACATGTCCTCTATCTCACTGGGTTCGGCCCCGGGCCCTAGAGTACTCTGAGGAACTGTAAATATGACTCTCTAGTGTTGTTATTGTCCTCCCCTTTGAGCTTACCTTGCCCGTGCTTGTTGCTTTCCCAAAGGTGACTTTGTACTGCAGCTCATCAGCGAAGACATCCCGCATGGTCTTTAGTTTGTTCTGCTCGTGGAACAGGGCTATGGGAGGGTCTTTTACATACAGGGTGATCTTCCTCTTGTCTTTGCTCACCTCAATCTTGAACTCAGGTCTGCCTATAAGCGCTGGAAGGGAAATAACACCGGAGGTTGACATGCTTGCTTGTCACACCTGGCGCCACTTGGTGACACTGGCATGCTGTTGAACTACAAATTAAAGAAAGTTACACCCTCTTTTTCCCAGTGATTTATAGAAGAACCCTCTTTTTCCCAGTGATTTATAGAAGAACCCTCTTTTTCCAGTGATTTATAGAAATAACCCTCTTTTTCCAGTGATTTATAGAATAACCCTATTTTTCCCAATGATTTAAAGAACAACCCTCTTTTTCCCAGTGATTTATAGAAGAACCCTCTTTTCTCAGTGATTTATAGTAGAACCCTCTTTTTCCCAATGATTTAAAGAACAACCCTCTTTTTCCCAGTGATTTATAGAAGAACCCTCTTTTTCCCAGTGATTTATAGAAGAACCCTCTTTTCTCAGTGATATATAGAATAACCCTATTTTCCCATTGATTTATAGAAGAACCCTCTTTTCCCAGTGATTTATAGAAGAACCCTCTTTTCCCAGTGATTTATAGTAGAACCCTCTTTTTCCCAGTGATTTATAGAAGAACCCTCTTTTTCCCAATGATTTATGTGGAAAATATGTCACTGTATGACTGTAGTCAGTTACTGCTGGAGTACCTACTGTCTTGGTAAGGGGTGAACCCTTCCGAACTGGTGTGGGGGAACTCTGTGAGGTCAGAGTTTACTCTATGTAGGGGTTCTGAGAAGACATCAGCTGAGTATGTGGCCTTCAGGTCAGTCAGAGCGTTGGACAGGTCACACTGAGTCTCCATGGTCCGGATACAGTGCTGGTTCCACTCTCTTATCTGACCAATACTGAAATAGACGTAATAGTAGGGTTATCATTATCTTCAAAACATGTTTGTTTTGTTGCGTTAGGTCTGGATTAGCATCTCAAATCAAATCAAGTTGTATTTGTAACATGCTTCGTAGACAACAGGTGTAAACTAACAGTGAAATGCTTAGTTGAACACTAAGAAAGTACCAAATTGTAATCTTTGAATTTGAGTTATAATCTTGAACTCATTGCACCACGTCACACACATTGTACTTCAATTAAACAGAGATTAGTATTTATTCTCCCTCCTACTGCCCTCCAACACATCGACCTGGCTCTTCAAGATCAGAGACGGAGTCTCCAACACATCGACCTGGCTCTTCAAGATCAGAGACTGAGTCTGGGAAGAATAGGTTAGTGCCGACCTCCTCTTGATCATGGGATTATAGGCACCGTCTTTTTTATATTTCATGGAGACATTTCATTTCATTTCATGAATAGAAGTAGGAAGTAATGTAGCATTTCGTAATTACCTGATATGTAGGAAACTGAGATTTTTCCATTTTCATTTAATAATAATTGAAGTGGCAAATAAATACACTACTTGGCAATTTAATGGAATGATTGCACTTGTTCGGTCTTCCTGTAAGTGCAATAAACTGTAATATGAGCATGTAAATGATTTACTTACACAGAATATTCAACAGTGTATGAATAGTTGGAAGGTTTAGGATCCCACATAAGCAGTGTTTTGAAGTTGATAGATAACCAGGAAACGTTCTGTGCCTTGGGATAGTTACCTACATGAAGAACAAGATCAGTTAACTACATGAAGAACAATATCAGTTAACTACATGAAGAACATGATCAGTTAACTACATGAAGAACAATATCAGTTAACTACATGAAGAACAAGATCAGTTACCTACATGAAGAACGAGATCAGTTACCTACATGAAGAACGATATCAGTTAACTACATGAACAATATCAGTTAACTACATGAAGAACGAGATCAGTTAACTACATGAAGAACGAGATCAGTTAACTACATGAAGAATGAGATCAGTTAACTACATGAAGAACAAGATCAGTTACCTACATGAAGAACGAGATCAGTTACCTACATGAAGAACAATATCAGTTAACTAAATGAAGAACGAGATCAGTTACCTACATGAAGAACGAGATCAGTTACCTACATGAAGAATGAGATCAGTTAACTACATGAAGAACAAGATCAGTTACCTACATGAAGAACGAGATCAGTTACCTACATGAAGAACAATATCAGTTAACTAAATGAAGAACGAGATCAGTTACCTACATGAAGAACGAGATCAGTTAACTACATGAAGAATGAGATCAGTTAACTACATGAAGAACAAGATCAGTTACCTACATGAAGAACGAGATCAGTTACCTACATGAAGAACAATATCAGTTAACTAAATGAAGAACGAGATCAGTTACCTACATGAAGAACGAGATCAGTTACCTACATGTAATGTTAGACAATGACAATGAGTGAAACTGAAATAATTAGGACAGTGTGTCTTTGCATGAGAGGGTCACAGGGGATAGTGCCTGTCCTAAGCCAGGCTGATCCAAGAAGTTGCCAACAAAACACTTAGGACATTGTGGCTTTTAAATGCAGTATGTGATTTATCCAAATAGACCCGTGGGTTGTTCAGCAACGAAACCGACGGTGAGCAACTACGGGGCAAAACAGACAGGGTTGGCTTAGGTTGTTGACAACATGTCAACTATATTTAGTCTACAAATGTTTGATTGAAAACCTAAATACATGTGCACGATGAGCACTTGTTGTCTCTCAAATACATTGTTGCAGTTGTTAGTTAGCTAGCTAGCGAATTTTAGACATATTAGCATAGACATGACATCAGTCGAAACACCTCAAACAATACCTGGTACCAAGAACAAGATAAAACGATGTGAAACGAGCCACCTGATTCTCCACATGGCAGCTTCTTGTCATTGACCACGTTTACATGCACACCAATATCCCGTTATTATTCAGTTTCGCATATCATGAGTGTCTTGTGATGATGTTTTCATCTGATTGGCAAACAAATTACTTCAAAAAGTAGACTACCTGAGCAGTTCAATCCACCATAAAAGTTCCATAATAATCATTTGTTTTGCTGATACTCTGTACTGGACCTTATAGCCTACTTGCTTAGGCTACTTTCACCCCTAATTTAGAAAAGTTTCTGCTTATATTTTCCGACATTTGGTAGGCCATAATATAATTTCCGACATTCGGTAGGACATTGTTTGTCAACTATAGTTAGATACATGCAGCTTCTCTTCTGTCATAACTTGTTTCCTCAGAAGACTAAATAAAGTAGTGCTCACCAGAATAATGTCTTACTTCGATAGAATGAGTGCATTAGTAATGTAGTTAACGCTGCTAAAGTTGTCTGTTTCATTTAGGGACCGGGAAAAAATGCAATAACTCCAAAACAGTGGAAAGACTGGTCCTGTGCGAAATGTCCAAATGTTATCAGTTTGATCAGTTTTAAGGGAATGAAAATCTGAGAACTATGAAACACGTTTCTGATAAGACTTCAGTTTATCTTGGGTACATATTGTATGTGGTTGAAATACTGTCTACTTGCACAACAGTGTCAAAGATAACAACATGTTCCACTCACATTCGCATTTTCTCAAGAGATGCTGAAAGAAAGAAATCATACGAAAATGATATTTATATATATATGAAAATGTATGCACTCTACTGTAAGTCGCTCTGGATAAGAGCGTCTGCTAAATGACTAAAATGTAGATGTAAAAAAATATTTATCCGCTGCTGTTCCCGAGACAAAATTAACCTTTGATGTACCATTTTACTGCAACAAATGCATATTTCTGCAGGAGTTAATATCATATTAGGCTACATGTGAGAGGTTATAGGACTACAGTCAGTCAGATTTCAGTTACTATTACATTTATCCCCACATGAATTTAAATTAGGAGTATTTTTTATTTATGGTACAGGGATACTCGTGAGCGGATATCAAAGGTGTATGTAAACAGTTTATCCCGAATAAAACCTTAAAGCGGGATATTCGCTATTAAACGGGATTTGAGCTACACTCCGGGATACTGTGCGCAGGTAAACACGGTCACTGACCATCCTGAATCACAACAACACATGGACTTCTGCCCCATTGACGCGTGTGCATTGTTTTCAGCTAAACCCCGTCTATACTATTTGTCTAGTGTCCAGCTTTTAGTATTGTAGGCTAGCCTAGATTTGAATTGCCCGTGGTGTTTTTGACTCACCTGAAACACAGTTTGTAAAGAATAGTACAGCACACAATCTCCTACAAAACGTTTTCCTTTCCATGTTCAACATGTTATATCCAAACAGGTCAGCGTAAAACAGTAATCCAGTGGAGGTAGAAGTGAAACGACGCGCGTCTCGGAGCTCCACTGAAACGAACGGTGTAAGTCCTTCGCGATACACCTCTGATTGAATTCAAACCCCTTGTCTTGGCCAGCTATTGTCAGTGCTTAAGGTGCTGTCTAGCAATAAAAAAGACGCTTGTATCGACCAAATAAGGAGTGTCCGGGTTTTAGTTTGTGGGATGGGCTTCTGAGAGTTTAGTGTATGCGACTTGCTTAACTTTTTGTGATTACAAAAACATCGTAGCCTACTGTATTAGGAACAGCTAGTGTATAGCTTCCTGTAAGTAGCCTGGTAAAATGATGTGTCATTCATTGCGTTTTGGTACACCATAAGTACATTCATTTCCAATGGAACGCTGCGTTTGCAGTGCGTTCTGTGTGGTGCATAGGTTGGATTTATCGAACGTATGCATCAAACTGAATGCGTAGACTTGACAGAAAGTAGAAAAATGTGAATGTTGAATTTTTGTTGCACACACATCCAGTGAAAAAACATGGATGAGTATTACAATATAATTAGTAGAGCATAATAAACAGTAATGAGGTAGCTATATGAGTAGATAGAATATGTGGGTGGAATTCAAGTCACACACAATATTGATAATTATTTTGAATTATATTTCAGATTCTTGGCGACAGGGGACTCCTACAGAACCATCGGATTCAGCGTCCGAGTTGGACGGTCCACGGTGGCAGGCATTGGCCCCTCTGTGGCACAAGCCATTTGGGACTGTCTGGTCGGCGAATACATTCCTGTCCCCAAGGAGGAAGACTGGAGGGCCATCACTGCCGAGTTCCTGGAGAGGTGGAATTTCCCCAACTGTCTTGGCTCCATTGACGGTAAACATGTAGTGATCCAGGCTCCACCGTGCTCGGGTTCGCAATTCTACAACTACAACGGTACATATTCAGTTGTACTCTTGGCTGTTGTAGATGCCATCTACTGTTTCCGTTTCGTCGATGTTGGTGCTAACAGCAAGGGAAGTGATGGCGGGACCCACCGGGACTCTCCCTTCGGCCAGGCTCTTCAGGATGGCTCTTCAGGATGGCACCCTGCATCACTCCCTGGGGCTGAAGACCTGGGACCCGTTCCCCCACGTCTTCGTCGGCGACGAGGCCTTCCCTTTGAGACCCAACCTCATGAGGCCCTACGCTGGACGCCAGCTGCCATTGCCAAAGCCTGTAAGGATCTTCAACAAACGACTGTCCAGGGCAAGGTTAGTTGTTGAATGCGCCTTTGGGATTCTGGCAGCCCGGTGGAGAATGTTCCGGAGAGTGCTTGGTCTCAGCCCCTCAAATGTCGATGCCTGCGTGAAGGCCACTTGTCCTCCACAACGACCCGCGGAGGGCATCCCAGGAGCCGCTCCGGATGGAGATGGACACGCCAAATGGTCACCTACCTGATGTCACCAGGGCAGGTGCCAACAACGCCCCCAGACAGGCACTCCAGGTGAGGGAGAAGCTGACCACCTACAGCAGGTGAAGTCCCATGGCAGCATGTCGTGGAGTGAAACGGCTCTTTTAAGAGCCCCCTAACACAAAGGTTATTTTAAGAACCATCCACCGTTGTCCATAAAATAGCATTTTTTCCCACAGATTATTTTATGTTTCATTGTCTGTCTTCATTTGGAAGTTATAATATTTAAGTGAAATGTGGGCGTAAAGACCCCTTCCCTCTCCCATTAACATCAGTATTATACACACCTGGCATGGTACATAAGGTGAGCAGGAGCTCTATTTAAGGTTATTCGACATACGTATGATGATAACAATGGGAAAAGGTAACCTGGGGTCCATACAAATAGTACAGTTTACCACCATCTTCACTGGTCTGACAAAATGCAGGTGGAAATAAAAAAAACGAATTAGGAAGAGAAAATATTTTTACCTTCATCTTGTCTTAGATCTGCAAAGGTGTAGGGAAGAAATAAACAGATGAAGTCTAAATGAGATATTAATAAACAAATGAAACAACTGACTATGAAAACATTATAATTTAATAAGTATTCAAGTACAGGAAAGAACGAGACAGGTATGTGTTTTGTAATTTTTTTTTACAAAAAATAAAACAACCATCCAGGACCTCTATACCAGGCGGTGTCAGAGGAAGGCCCTAAAAATTGTCAAAGACTCCAGCCACCCAAGTCATAGACTGTTCTCTCTGCTACCGCACGGCAAGCAGGTTCCCGGAGCGCCAAGTCTAGGTCCAAGAGGCTTCTAAACAGCTTCTACCCCCAAGCTATAAGACTCCTGAACTGCTAATCAAATGGCTACCCAGACCATTTGCATTTTACGCTTCTGCTACTCTCTGTTTATTAACTATGCATAGTCACTTTAATATCTCTACCTACATGTACATATTACCTCAATTACCTCAACTAACCGGTGCCCCACGCACATTGACTCTGTACCGGTACCCCCTGTATATAGCCTCCCTACTGTTATTTTACTGCTGCTCTTTAATTATTTGTTACTTTTATTTTTTGTAGGTATTCTTTCTTAAAACTGCATTGTTGGTTAAGGGCTTGTAAGTAAGCATTTCACCTGTTGTATTCGGCGCATGTGACAAATACAATTTTATTTTATTTAAAGTTGGTAATTCTTGCTGTTTACTCATGGAATTTGTATTTCAGATCAAAAGATGAATATGACAGGCAAATATTTAGACAGCAAACTGTTGTTTTAGGATATTTTCTAACCCAGAAACAACAGCTATACATTTGCCTCATATTGATCATTTGATCTGAAATACCAATTAGCCTACATGAGTATACTGTAAAAATGACTTGACTTCACTGTCACAATACTTATGACACTACCTGTGTTGTGGAGAAAAAATAAACCAACCATTGAACTCGGCTTCGAAAAGCAGCTGATGAATTTTAACCTTGACTGCCGCTTTTCTTTGCTGAGGCAGCCTCTTCAGGTTTGGCACCAGGCTCATGGCAAAGAGGGTCTCTTCATCCTCCTTCCTGTGCGCATCAGGTTGGGCTGCATCCCTCTCAACGGCTCGGAGGAGCCTCTGCTGAAATGAGTTGAGTGGATCTGGGGGGCTGGTACCTCCTCCGACGCCTGGTGTGACGTTGTTCCTCTTCCTGTCTCTCCCCGTTTGTCTCCACGCTCACATCCTGTTTTAACGAGGTCGTCAGTGGTCACTTCCGTCAGGATCATAATAATCTCACCGGGTCCTAGATCCAGAGGTGCTTCCTCCATTTCATCATCTTCCTCCTTGGCTGCACCGGTGGTGGTCATACTTGTGGATGACAGAGAGTCTCGCTGTACCAGTGGTGGTCACACTAGTAGATGACAGAGGGTCTCGCTGCACCGCTGGAGACGGTGGTCACACTTGTGGATGACGTAGAGGGTCTCGCTGCACCGCTGGAGACGGTGGTCACACTTGTGGATGACGTAGAGGGTCTTGATGCACCGGTGGAGACGGTAGTCACACTTGTGGATGACGTAGAGGGTCTCGCTGCACCGCTGGAGACGGTGGTCACACTTGTGGATGACGTAGAGGGTCTCGCTGCACCGCTGGAGATGGTGGTCACACTTGTGGATGACGTAGAGGGTCTCGCTGCACCGCTGGAGACGGTGGTCACACTTGTGGATGACATAGAGGGTCTTGATGCACCGGTGGAGACGGTAGTCACACTTGTGGATGACGTAGAGGGTCTCGCTGCACCGCTGGAGACGGTGGTCACACTTGTGGATGACGTAGAGGGTCTTGATGCACCGGTGGAGACGGTAGACACACTTGTGGATGACGTAGAGGGTCTCGCTGCACCGCTGGAGACGGTGGTCACACTTGTGGATGACGTAGAGGGTCTCGCTGCACCGCTGGAGACGGTGGTCACACTTGTGGATGACGTAGAGGGTCTTGATGCACCGGTGGAGACGGTGGTCACACTTGTGGATGACGTAGAGGGTCTTGATGCACCGGTGGAGACGGTGGTCACACTTGTGGATGACGTAGAGGGTCTTGATGCACCGGTGGAGACGGTGGTCACACTTGTGGATGACGTAGAGGGTCTTGATGCACCGGTGGAGACGGTAGTCACACTTGTGGATTACGTAGAGGGTCTTGATGCACCGCTGGAGACGGTGGTCACACTTGTGGATGACGTAGAGGGTCTTGATGCACCGGTGGAGACGGTGGTCACACTTGTGGATGACGTAGAGGGTCTTGATGCACCGGTGGAGACGGTGGTCACACTTGTGGATGACGTAGAGGGTCTTGATGCACCGGTGGAGACGGTAGTCACACTTGTGGATGACATAGAGGGTCTTGATGCACCGCTGGAGACGGTGGTCACACTTGTGGATGACGTAGAGGGTCTTGATGCACCGGTGGAGACGGTGGTCACACTTGTGGATGACGTAGAGGGTCTTGATGCACCGGTGGAGACGGTAGTCACACTTGTGGATGACGTAGAGGGTCTTGATGCACCGGTGGAGACGGTGGTCACACTTGTGGATGACGTAGAGGGTCTTGATGCACCGGTGGAGACGGTGGTCACACTTTTGGATGACGTAGAGGGTCTTGATGCACCGGTGGAGACGGTGGTCACACTTGTGGATGACGTAGAGGGTCTTGATGCACCGCTGGAGACGGTGGTCACACTTGTGGATGACGTAGAGGGTCTTGATGCACCGCTGGAGACGGTGGTCACACTTGTGGATGACGTAGAGGGTCTTGATGCACCGCTGGAGATGGTGGTCACACTTGTGGATGACGTAGAGGGTCTTGATGCACCGGTGGAGACGGTGGTCACACTTGTGGATGACGTAGAGGGTCTTGATGCACCGGTGGAGACGGTGGTCACACTTGTGGATGACGTAGAGGGTCTTGATGCACCGGTGGAGAAGGTGGTCACACTTGTGGATGACGTAGAGGGTCTTGATGCACCGGTGGAGACGGTAGTCACACTTGTGGATGACGTAGAGGGTCTCGCTGCACCGGTGGCACCCACAGTTGTGGATGACATAGAGGGTCTTGATGCACCGGTGGCACCCACACTTGTGGATGACATAGAGGGTCTTGATGCACCGGTGGCACCCACACTTGTGGATGACATAGAGGGTCTTGATGCACCGGTGGCACCCACAGTTGTGGATGACATAGAGGGTCTTGATGCACCGGTGGCACCCACAGTTGTGGATGACATAGAGGGTCTTGATGCACCGGTGGCACCCACACTTGTGGATGACGTAGAGGGTCTGGCTGTAAAATTGCCACTCGTTGCCCAAGGCACAATAAATGGATCCAGAAAAGAAAGAATGTGGCAGAAGCGCCAAGGTCCTCTCCACTTCCTCCTACAGTCTTCTTCTACATAGACGTGAACATGATAAGCCAAACCATCACCTAGCATAACTATAGTGATTAGATAGCTATCATGGACATGTCACCTACTGTACACACAGACACGGTTATCTGACCAAATTATCAGGGGTAGTATCTAGCATCATTTCTATTACTATTTATCTGACATTTACACTCACATACACTCTCACATACACACTCACACTCTTTCAAACATGATTATTTGGCCAAGTTATCAGGGGTAGTAACTAGCATAATTTATATTACAATTTGTCTTTCACACACACACACACACACACGCACCTCATTGGCTAGGTCAGCAAGCTAGCTAGCTAGGTTAGCAAGCTAGCTAACTAGCCACATCTAGCACAAGCTCACTACTAAACTGACCTGGCAATCCTACTATCGTGGACACTCGTCTCCAAGCAGCATTTTCTGTGTTTGTGTCCCTGTAGCTGTCAGCAGGATACTGCGAAAATGATTATCTCCTCCGTGTGTCCAACCGCATGCGACCGTCTGCAACACGTGTGTAGATACCTGCATTCAGTAAAGTTGCGTAGCAGCGCAAAATGCAATGACGCAGTCGGTGCGTTCGAAGCGTTATCCAAAGAATAATATTACATTTGTGCACAAGAATATGACACCACGGGTATTCAACAAGGGGACATCTAAAGGGTGTTGTCATTGGATTGTTTTTGTGCAATATTATTATTATATATTTTTTTTCACCTTTATTTAACCAGGTAAGCTAATAATATTATTGGTCAAATATATTGAAGTGGCAACTGCATACAAAGCCGTGACAACGCCATATGAGTCACCTCATTGAGTGTTAAGACAGGCAACTTATTTAGCATTTCAGTGAGTTCTTGAATGGTCATGTAATAATAATAATTGTCACGATCGTCTTGAAAAGAAGCGGGCCAAGGCGCAGCGTGAGATGCGTACATATTTATTTTCTTGTACACCACAGCGAACCAAACAACAAACGATACGTGAAGTCCTACGATACAAACACAAATCAAAAGGAACAAGAAACCACACCAAACGAATGCCTTACAGCTACCTAAGTATGGCTCCCAATCAGAGACAACGAGCTACAGCCGTCTCTGATTGGGAGCCACCCTGGCCAACATAGAAACACAAAACTAGAACCTAACACCCTGGCTCAACATACGAGAGCCAGGGCGTGACAATAATAATACTATAATAACGTCATGTGTTCAATGGCTTCATGTAGGTTCTGGCCCTAACCTTTTGGGGGGCCCTAAGAGAGATATGGTTGGAGGGGCCCCCTCACCTGTGAGCAAAACATTTGAGTGGCCCCCCTGTTGACAACGGAGAGGAAATGTTACATTTTAAAGTTAATTTCCTGCAATTCTACACATTTTGCCATGTGGTGTAGAGAACATGTTGCAGTTTTAACACTAGCACCACTAAAGCAGCCATTTTGACTGCTCAGTATTTTTTATTTATTACATAAAAAAAAAAAAAAAATGTCATTTAGCAGACGCTCTTATACAGAGCGACTTACAGTTAGTGAGTGCATACATTATCATACTGGATGCACTTTTTAAAGTAATGCACCCCTCCGTCCTTGACTTTTCCTATATAAGTCTATATAACACACTGCCGTTATTAGAATTTTAATATCACAAACAGAACTGGTCATTTTTTGAATGGTTTTCCCCGTTGCCCGTCTTTCTCCCAACAGTTGAAAATGCAGTGCCCAGCTGATAATCACCCCAATAATTGCCTCAAAACTTAACCTACACCAAAATGAATTTCACACATATAACAACAGATTAAATAATTTAAGTAACGTATGATGAGGAGAAAGGAGGTGAATTGGTGAGTTGGGAAGCAAACGATGCATAATTATGTAATTAGCGATTGTGAATGAAGAACAGGGCAGGATTTCACATGACTGGGAATACAGATATGCATCTGTTGGTCACAGATACTGTACCTGTAAAAAACAAGTTACGGCCGTGGATCAGAAAACCAGTCAGTATCTGGTGTGACCATCATTTGCCTCATGCAGCGCGACACATCTCCTTCACATAGAGCTGATCAGGCTGTTGATTGTGGCCTGTGGAATGTTGTCCCACTCCTCTTCAATGGCTGTGCGAAGTTGCTGGATATTGGCGAGAACTGGAACACGCTGTCATACATGTCGATCCAGAGCATCCCAAACATGTTTAATGGGTGACATGTCTGTTGAGTATGCAGGCCATGGAAGAACTTTGACATTTTCAGCTTTCAGGAATTGTGTACAGATCCTTGCGACATGGGGCCGTTCATTATCATGCCGAAACATGAGGTGATGGCGGTGGATGAATGGCACGTCAATGGGCCTCAGGATTTTGTCACGGTATCTCTGTGCATTCAAATTGCCATTGATAAACAGCAATTGTGTTCGTTGTCCGTAGCTTATGCCTGCCCATACCATAAACCCACTGCCACCATGGGGCACTCTGTTCACATCATTGACATCAGCAAACCGCTCGCCCACACGACCCCATACACGCTGTCTGCCATCTGCCCGGTACAGTTGAAACCGGGATTCATCCATGAAGAGCACACTTCTCCAGCGTGCCAGTGGCCATCGAAGGTGAGCATTTGCCCACTGAAGTCGGTTACGAAGCCGAACTGCAGTCAGGTCAAGACCCTGGTGAGGATGACGAACACGCAGATTAGCTACCCTGAGACGGTTTCTGACAGTTTGTGCAGAACTTCTTCGGTTGTGCAAACCCACAGTTTCATCAGCTGTCCAGGTGGCTGGTGTCAGACGATCCAGCAGGTGTGGAGGTCCTTGGCTGGCGTTGTTACACATGGTCTGCAGTTGTGAGGCCGGTTGGACGTACTGCTAAATTTTCTAAAACTACGTTGGAGGCAGCTTATGGTAGATAAAGTAACATTAAATTATCTGGCAACAGCTCTGGTGGACATTCATGCAGTCAGCATGCCAAATTGACGCTCCCTCAAAACTTGAGACATCTGTGGCATTGTGTTGTGTGACAAAACGGCACATTTTAGAGTGGCCTTTTATTGTCTCCAGCACAAGGTGCACCTGTGTAATGATCAGGCTGTTTAATCAGCTTCTTGATATGCCACACCTGTCAGGTGGATGGATTATCTTGGCAAATGATAAATACTCACTAACAGGGATGTAAACAATTTTGTGCACAACATTTGAGAGAAATAAGCTTTTTTGTGCGTATGGAGAATTTCTGGGATATTTTATTTCAGCTCATGAAACACGGGACCAACACTTTACATGTTGTGTTTATATTTTTGTTCAGTATACGATCTCAAAATGATATGTACCCTATACAGTGAGGGAAAAAAGTATTTGAGTTGCCAAACGTCAGGCTCGAAATCTTAATGACTTGGAGAAGATCTGCAAAGAGGAGTGGGACAAAATCCCTCATGAGATGTGTGCAAACCTGGTGGCCAACTACAAGAAACGTCTGACCTCTGTGATTGCCAACAAGGGTTTTGACACCAAGTACTAAGTCATGTTTTGCAGAGGGGTAAATACTTATTTCCCTCATTAAAATGCAAATCAATTTATAACATTTTTGACATGCGTTTTTTCTGGATTTTTTTGTTGTTATTCTGTCTCTCACTGTTCAAATAAACCTACCATTAAAATTATAGACTGATCATTTCTTTGTCAGTGGGCAAACGTACAAAATCAGCAGGGGATCAAATACTTTTTTCCATCACTGTATAAATCCACTAAATCCTGGAACGGACCAGCCACCACCGGCCTGAGGAGAGACACAGGGAACGAGGGGTTAATATGATAATCTGGCGGGAGTAATAACCTATAGGTAACCTCGTTTATTCTCCTCAGGACTTTGAACGGCACCACAAACCACGGGCTCAGCTTCCGGCAGGGCAAGCGGAGGGGCAGATTCCGGGTCGAGAGCCAGACCCGATCACCCGGTACAAAGACCGGGGCTTCACAGCGGTGGTGGTCAGTGTTGGCCTTCTGGCGACGCACGGCACGTTGGAGGTGGACGTGAGCAGCGTTCCACATCTCCGCGTGCCGAAACCAGTCATCCAATGCAGGAGCCTCGGACTGGCTCTGATGCCACAGTGCCAGAACCAGCTGATAACCTAAAACACATTGAAATGGCGTTAGGTTAGTGGAGGAGTGACGGAGAGAGTTCTGGGCATATTCGGCCCATGACAAGAACACCGACCACTCCCCCGGCCGGTCCTGGCAGTAGGACTGCAGGAACCTACCCACAACCTGATTTACCCGTTCCACCTGCCCATTAGACTCGTGGTGAAAACCAGAGGTCAGGCTGACCGAGACCCCCAGACGTTCCATGAACGCCTTCCAGACCCTGAATGTGAACTGGGGACCCCGGTCAGACACTATGTCCTCTGGAACCCCGTAGTGCCGGAAGACGTGTGTAAACAGTGCCTCCGCAGTCTGCAGGGCCGTGGGGAGACCGAGCAGAGGAAGGAGGCGGCAGGCTTTGGAAAAGCGGTCCACAACAACCAGGATGGTGGTGTTACCTTGAGAGATGGGAAGATCAGTAAGGAAGTCAATACATGGCCGTTGTGGAACTGGTAAGGGCTGTAACTTACCCGCTGGGAGGTGCCTAGGTGCCTTACTCTGGGCGCACACCGAGCAGGAGGAGACATTCACCCTCGCGTCCTTAGCCAAGGTAGGCCACCAGTACTTTCCAGTCATGCAGCGCACTTTAAGACCGATACCTGGGTGACCAGAGGAGGGGGACGTGTGTGCCCAAAAGATCAGATGGTCACGGACAAGAGCAGGCACGTACTGCCCGTTATGCTACCGGCGCCACAATGCAGGAGGCCGGGAGTATGGGGGTGTTGTCTATGGGCCTCTCCTCTGTGTCATACAGCCGTGATAGTGCGTCTGCCTTCACATTCTTCGTACCCGGGATGTAAGATAGTGTAAAATCAAACTGGGTGAAGAATAGGGCCCACCTGGCCTGGCGAGGGTTCAGACTCCTCGCTGCCCGGATGTATTCCAGGTTACGGTGGTCCGTCCAGACGAGGAAAGGGTGTTTCGCCCCCTCGAGCCAGTGCCTCCACACGGTCAGGGCTCGGACAACAGCCAACAGTCCCGATCACCAACGTCGTAGTTCTGCTCCGCCGGGCTGAGCTTCGTGGAGAAGAAGGCACAGGGGTGGAGCTTGGGTGGCGTGCCCGAGCGTTGAGATAGGACAGCGCCTATCCCTACCTCGGACGCATCCACCTCCACTATGAACGGTAATGATGGATTAGGATGGGCCAGTACCGGGGCTGAGGTGAACAGAACCCTCAGGTTACTAAAGGCCCTGTCAGCCTCAACAGACCAGCGGAGCCGGGACGGCCCACCCTTCAACAGAGATGTGATGGGAGCTGCGACCTTGCCAAAGCCCCGGATAAACCTCCGATAGTAGTTGGCAAAGCCAATAAAGTGCTGCACTCGTCCCC